TAATTCTTTTTTTATTTACTTTATATAATATATTTTTAAAGCGCTTTATTTTATAGCTTAAAACCTTTAAAGATAAGGTTTTTACTTTAATAATATTTATTTTAATAGCTTTTTTAAAAGTACTTAAAATTAAATAATTAATAAAGTTAATAAAATAAATAGCGCCATAATTATTTAAAATTATACTTAAAAATAAAGAATATAATATAAAATTTTAAAGTTATATATATTCCTAAGAAATTAATTATAATTAATAATTATAATAAATTAATTAAAGTATAAATAAATTAATAAAAAGTTAATAAAGATATAATAAAAATATTATTAATTAGTTAATTTTTTAAAATTAAGGTTTAAGAAAATATAAGTTTGCTTTATAAGGAAAAATAAAATAAAAAGAGGAAATTAAGATATTATCCCTTAATAGCTTTTAAAAATATATTTAAGGAAGTTTTTAATATTCTTAATAAGCTTTGCATTTAATTTTTAAGTAAAAGGTTTTTTTAAGTAAGCTTTTAAATTAAGTTCTTATAATAATTTTTTTATAATTATATTTTAATTTTATTATATTTAAATTCCCCTAAAAATATTTTTAACTTTAAGATTTATTTCCTTAAAAATATAAAATAAAGGTAGCGATAATTAATAAAAAGCTAAGTATATTCCTTTTATTAATTAATTTTTTAATAAGAATACTTATATATTTTATTTTATTAATGTAATTAAAATAATATATTTTCATTTTTTAATTATTCCCTTAATTAATTACTTTCCATTTTAAAAAGTACTTTTAATCTTAATATAATAAATATTATAATATTTTTAAAGATTAATGTAAGCTTATTATAATATAAAAATACCATTAACCCTTTAAATAAGGTTTTTAAAGAATAAATAGGTTTTTTTAATGCATTTTATTTAATAAATTTTTAGCGCTTAAAGATTACTTAATTAAGGGTAATATATATTGCAATTATTTATAGGAAGTTATTTAAATTAATAAATCCCTTAATTTTAAGTAATTTATAAGTATAAGCTTATAAATATAAATTTATAAAATCTTAATATTATTATTATAATTTAATATTTAGTTTCTTTATTTTTTTTAAGTATTATTAATATTAAGTTTAAAGGGTATTTATTATGCTTAACTTAAAAAGTATAAGGTTATTTTTAATATTTTAAATTACTTATTAAATAAAAAATATTTTATATTTATTATTTTAATTAAATATAAGGAGAGAATTAAGCTAAATATTATTTTTTATATTTATTTTTAAATTTTTTATCCTTTATTAAATTTAATTACTTTATTAAAAGCTAAAGCAACTTATTATTAAAAATATTAATTATATTTTATTTTAATTTATTAAAGAATAAGGAAGAAAATAAAGTAAGTGCTATTTTATTTTTTAAAAGCTTATTATTACTTAAACGCTTTTAATACTTATTATATAAAGCTTTTTAAATGTTTCTTTTTTTCTTTTTATATTATATAAATTAAAAATTTAATTTTAAGATTATATTTAATTGCTTAATAAAGGCTATGTTTAATGCATTAAGGTTTATAAATTCTTAATACCTTTTAATTTAATAATAAGATTATAATATAATAAATTAAGTAAGAAAAAAATAAGTATTTAAATAAATTACTTAATTAATAAGATTTAAAAAAATATTTATAATTATTATATAAATATATGCTTAAAAATAAAAGGAAATAAATAATATAAAATAAATATAATTAAGATACGCTTTATATAACTTATTTATAACTTATAAAAAGGAAAGATTATTTTATGCAAACTAAGCTTATAATTATAAAAGGCTATAAGTATTATAAGGGGTTTAAAAGCATAATTATAAAAGCATTTATCTTTTAAAAGTAGTTTAAAAGGAGGAAATAAAAGAAATCTAGCTATTTAAGCATTTTAGGAAGTGGTTGTAAACCAGGGTTAGGGATATGCATGCAATACTCACCGGAGTCAAAGACCCAAGTTCTGGCCCCGAAACATTCTATTGTGCACTTCTGGATCGTGATGGCAATGAGCCCATTGTCTGGAACAACACTTCTGAGACCTGGTGGTTTCAGAAAGATAACACTCATAAAGGCGCCAGCCGCCCATGAGTTGGTCATGTTTCGTCCTGGCCGGGAGCTTAATGAGACATGCAACTTGGCCGGCTTCAACAGTCCAAAAAGGCACGACAGTAAGCTTAATAAACGATGAGGTTTCAGGAGTACAATGGAATTCCAACAACTCTCAAATTAACCAGACATAAAATACTATCGATGCCGCCATTCCTCGGCCATGCTCAGGTGAATCAACACCACCAACGATCAAAAGATTTAGTTCCTCAGACAAGACAACGACCACTATCAGACTTGAAGGCCTTATCACCACACCATGCAACTCACCAAAACCATCATCACAGCCCTCTCGCTGACCACCGCCGTCGCAGGCGACCCGGTCAGCTACGGCACTTGTCAGGCGGGATGTACGCAGGTAGTCAGAGCTTGTTATGCTGCTTCCGGGTTCACATTCGGCACGGTTGTTGGCGTGAATGCGCCGGCCTCCATCACTGCCTGCAATACGATGTTCGGGATGTGTCAGTCATACTGTGCCTTGCTCGCGCGTCACTATTGAACGAGATGTGAGGAGTGCTGTACCTAGGAGCAACTCGACTCAACAGATAAAACCGGGACAGCAACAAATGAGAGTTTGCAGAAGACGAGAGGGGGGGAGGAACATGTTGGATCGAAGGGTTCATGGAGAGGAAGGCGATGGGTGCAAGGGATACACGCATTCGAGTGAGCAAGCACGCAACTCTAGTCAAAAGGGCTAGGGGCTGGGGGCGAATATCAGGAGACTGGGCGGTGGAGCAACAAAGAGAGCGGATGTCAGCCCACCAAGCCAGCTCCTGCAAGGTCGGTGTGGGCGAATAGGGTGAGAGGACAGATAGTTAAAATTCATGGGGGAATCACAGAGAGAAAGACCACTGTGCCTGTATGTGCCGATGACTATGTGCCGTTGAGAGAGTAGGTGAGAGTGGCGAGACGGTAGGTACATGGAAGAACTTGAAGGCACGGGGCAGCATTTTCAGGGTGAGGGTTTCAAATCGAATCAAACTCTTATGGATGTACGATGCAAATAGAAACTTTGCTTATTCATAGTATATGGGTTTCGTAATCAAGCCACAGTCCAGCAGCCACAATATATACTGCAGTACTGACAATATGCAACGCAATGTGGACCACGAGAGTAAGTACCAAGTAGGCTACAGTTGGAGGACGCGAAGACTGGAGAACCCCGCAAACGGTAAGGAGCGGGAATGCGGAGTGGCTTCCTCGCGTCAGTGCACAATGGCACATGTGCAGCTCCGGAAAAAGAGGGTCTCGGCCGCAGGGTACGCGAGTACAAAAGGGCGCCAGTCTCCCGCCTCTCAGCGCCGCGGGATTTGGGGGCCCCTGGGAGCAAAGCTCTGATTGACTGATTGGTTAGCTGACTGGCTGATGAATTATTTACCACTGGCCGTTGCATAGAAGAGACTAAGCTACTGAAGGTATGTGATCTCTCTCTCCTCTCTGTCCATAGCTCCCATCCCACTGACTCACTCGGGTCTAATTACAGTCATAAGCTAGATGACCTAACGGCGAAGCTGTCATAGTAAGAACCAGCATCTGGGATAGTCGTTCAGGTCAGGTCAGGTCAGGTCAGGTCAGGTTACAGGTTGTTCGGTTAGCCATCCGACGTACCACCGCGATACCACAGCACAACAATATCACCGTCACGAGCCCACAGGTGAGCAGAGCCCTGTCCATTTCTGATGCCTTTACGTGGACTGTGAACACAGGCAGTCAGTCTACTGCGTGGCGACACACAGGAGGAGCTGGCTGCAGCCACAAATGTCCACCGCCCGCCAACATCTTGTGCCCCAGAAGCAACCTTGTTTCCAACTCGAACACGGCACAGAGCAGCCCACTTACCAATCATCACAGTCTCATCCAGCTGAGCCTCTGGCCTTGTTGACCTCGAACGCCTCCATCGCCTGCACCATCATCATCGAAATCCTCCTCACAAACCTTCTCCTACGAAACTCCCAGGGGTGAAACTTTCTCGAGAAAGCCGTTCCTCCTCCTTGTGTTGGAGGAGCAAACGCGAACGAACAAACGAACGAACCAGCTCTGGCGGTCCGACCGGCCCCACTTCTCTGCCTGCCAATCCGCCGTGCCATTGGCCTGTCACGGCTAGCTGCCGACGCTAAGCAGGGAGCTCTTGCCTGGACTCCAGCCCACCACCCCTCTCCCACCTGGGCCTTTTTTGGGGTCAGGTACCTGGGTACCTGCAAGCAACTGGTCTGGTACGCTTCATAACGTGCCTGGTCAGCCGCCGTCCGGGGTACCCAACTTCTGTCCGTTGTACATAACCTACCTACACCTACCTACTCCCTGCTCCACCTGTCCGCCTGCGGCCTTGTGAGTGTGTGTGTGTGTGTGGGTTGTGTGCGCTTCTTGTCTGCTCTTGTGTGTGCCGGTGGCCCAAGCTTCTCGGCCTTGACCCATCCCAGTCGCATATCATCGCAGCGCAGCGCATCGCATCTCACTTCGTCCCTCCAACCATCCTCAACACCCTCTTGATCACCTCCTTGACCAGCCATCACCACCCCGAATTGACCCCAGAAAATCCTCTTCGGCCTTTCGCGTCAGCTTCTCCTCTGGACCTCGACCCGTGCAGCCCTCGAGAGCATCACCACTTTCCTCCCATTCTGTCTGCCATGGGAAGCTCAATCGCTGCCTCTCCATCTCCATCCTCCATTCAACGCGACCATACTCTGTCCAGCTAGAGGCAGCTGAGCCTCCTTGTGAGCTACTTTTCTCTCCCTCCCTGTCTCTGCCTCTAAATAAATATATCCGTTTACCTCCTCGTGCTCTGCTGCAACTAGCTGACCTTTGTTCCTGGCCCAGATTTTGCCCCAACCTCAACCCACACCCATCCTCCACCATGGGCTCTGTCACAGAGTTCCCCCTGGGGCCTCACCTGCGGTATCCCATAACAATCACCAGGCTGATATACAAGCCTGGTGATGAGGTCAAGAAGGGCTCCAATGCCATGGAATTCTCGTACAAGTACAAGATGGAGTTTGGCGACCAGATCACCGGCGACATCCGCCACGAGGAGCAGACCGGCTTTGCCTCGTGGCCCTGCCCTACCAATGGAACCCTCAAGTCCTGGGACATCAAGGTTGGCGAGGTCATCGCTCGCAGCCGCCCCTGCGTGCGCATCGAGGAGACCTGCATACACGATAACCAGTACGGTGGTATGTGTCTGATCTGCGGCAAGAGCACCGACGACATCGACTTCTACACCACCCAGCTCGACACCGCCCGCGCCCCCGTCCAGATGATCCACGACAACGTCAAGCTGACCGTCAGCCTGGACCGCGCCGCCGAGACCGAGCTGCTGCAGCAGAAGCGTCTGCTCGAACACCGCAAGCTGAGCCTCGTCGTCGACCTGGACCAGACCATCATCCACGCCTGCATAGACCCCACCGTCGGCGAGTGGCAGAACGACCCCACGAACCCGAACCATGAGGCCGTCAAGGACGTCCAAAGCTTCCAGCTCAACGACGACGGCCCCCGCGGCATGGCCAGCGGCTGCTCTTACTATATCAAGATGCGCCCCAATCTGCGACAGTTCCTCACCAACATCGCCAGGCTCTACGAGCTGCACGTCTACACAATGGGCACAAGGGCATACGCCATGAACATCGCCAGGATCGTGGACCCAGACAAGAAGCTCTTTGGCGACCGCATCATCAGCCGCGACGAGAACGGCAACATGACCGCCAAGAGCCTGCAGCGCCTCTTCCCTGTCTCGACCAACATGGTCGTCGTCATTGATGACCGTGCCGACGTCTGGCCCAACAACAGGCGGAACCTGATCAAGGTCGTGCCCTACGACTTCTTCAAGGGCACCGGCGACATCAACTCCAGCTTCCTGCCAAAGAGGCCGGACCTTACCCCAGCCCCAGACGCCGTCCAGGAGACGCCGCCGCCGCCGAACGGTGACGCAAAGCCGGAGGTCGAGGGAGACGCAGCAGCGAAGCCCGCCGCCGCAGCCGCCGTCCCCTCCACCGTGGGTCCGACTCCGGCTGGCGTGAGCGGTGCTGATGATGTTGCACTACTGAAAGCCCAGAGCGAACAGGAGCGGGCCTTGGAGAAGCAGCTGACGGACAGGCCATTGCTGCACATGCAGGAGAAGCTCGACAAGGACGACGAGGAAGCCGAGAAGGCCAGCGCGGAGAACGAGAGCCCCAACAGCGGCCATATCACCCCGCCGCACCAGCGACATCACGTACTCCTCGACGATGACGCCGAGCTCATCTACCTAGAACGACACCTCACGAACCTACACGAGAAATACTACGAGGCCTACGAAAGCCGCGAGAACAGCCGCTCGATACCCGATGTGGGCAGCCTGCTGGACGAGCTGAAACACGAGGTCCTGCGCGGCACGCGCATTGTGCTGAGCGGCATCGTGCCCAACAACGTGGACAAGTGGAACCACGAGATAGCGCTGCAAGTGAAGAGCTTTGGCGCGATATTGGAAGACCGGATACATCCTGGAATCACACACCTGGTGGTCAGCCTGCTCCGGCCTCGGACGGCCAAGGTGCGCGAGGCGGTCAGGATACCGACCATCAAGATCGTCAATCAGAACTGGCTACAAGACTCGATCAGCCAGTGGGAGGAGCTGGACGAGACACCATATCTGTTGGACCTGCACCCTGCTGACCGGGGAGGCTTGGCGCCCCTCGTGCTGCCTGGGAAGGGCGAGGGTGGCACGAGCCCCGAGGCGATCAACACTGCCATCCAGAACGGGGGTGCCGACCAAGAGGAGCTCGACAGCGCCGACGAGGAGGACGAGCTGGACCCGCGCAGCCCCATTGACGAGCTCAAGACGTTTGATTTCAATGAGGCCGACGAGGAACTTGCCGCCTTCATGGAGGAGGACGACGGCGATGACGACGATGACGATGACGGGAAGTCGGAGGAGGGAGGCCGGCAGTCGGATTCCGACCTTGACGACAACAACAGCACGACCTCGGACAGTGCGAGTGAGACAGGGTCGAAAGCCAGCGGAGCCAGGGGCGAGACGGTCAACGGCACATCACCCGGTTCCAAGCGGAAACATGGCGACAGCGATACGGAGGGCGAGAGGGATTTCGAGGGCGGCAGCGGCTCTGCGCTGTCGAAAAAACTGAAGGTATCGCGGTCACAAGGGGGCAGCAAGCTGCGGTCGGCATATCAGCCCGAGTCCGAGCCGCAAGCAAGCCCAAGCGAAGGAGCGGGTACGAACGGCGGTAGCCGCGGGCCCGAGGGGGACGAGGAGGAGGAGGAGGAGGAGGAGGAGGTGGACCTCCTGGAGACGGAGGGGGCCGGCAACGAGGACATGGACGAGATCGACGAGGAGGAGCTGATGGCAGAGCTGGACAGGGAAGAGCAGGAGCTTATCGCAGAGAAGGGCTAGGTGCCCTGGATCTCGTCGCTCAACTCGCCGGCGCGCAATGCCAAACTGGCGCAGGGACGGTCATCAACGCCCTCGACGCCCCCGGAGTCTACCCTTAGATAGGTTCAAGGGCGGCGGTGAAGAGGTTCTAGGGGATCTCTACGGAATCAGCGGGTTGCATTTGTGGAAAGGATCCTTTTTTTTTTTTACTAGCGATATTTGATTAGCCGTGTGAATTAGAATCTATGTCACAGCCTGTCCCAGAGGCATAACATTCGGGGCCACGAGAAGATATTATGATGGGAGACCTGGACGGGCAGTATCTTGCTGTGAGTCTAATATTGATCATCAGTCCATGTGGTGACGGCCAGTGCTCCACAGCGAATTCTAGGGTAACATCAAGGTGAATTTCCTGAAATATAATGGAAAAGTTGCGTTCCAAGCAACCTACCACCTACTGACCTGTGGTTGGCAAATAGGTGATCTTCGGGAAAGGCAGCAGGGATAGGGTTCACGCAAGCAAATCCCACCCCACACGGCACCTCCACAGCCAGAGCTCCGGCCAATCCAGCCCGGGTTGAATGCAAGCAGGTGAGCCGCGGGCAGGCAAGGGAAAGCAAGTCGAGCCGCATCGCATCCGCTCCCGAAGTCGACGACCAAATCCACGACCACGACCAGACGTCGCCCATTGTCCTCAGCCTGATCCTCCCGACCCCCCGAGACGACGTCCCGACCGCGAATTCTTCCCCCGATTGACCGACACGCCGAGTAGAATACCGTCTGCAACCCAAATAAGGCAACAAACGCCAGGATTGGTCGGCCCATCCGACAACAAACAGCCCACCATGCCTCAGGACATGCCCCCCGTGGGCGGCTACGACGCCGTCCAGTACAAGGTGAGATGACCTCTTCGACTGCGCTATACCTACTATCCTTCCTCGTCCCCCTCCTGTCGACAATGGCAGTCCGTTTCGAGGCCGCCCGGGTCATACGGTGACGAGATGGATGGGAACTGGACGGGTGGAAAGGTTGAAGGGGGCATGAGCGTATGTGAGGAGCTTGGGATGGCAATGGCCGAGCCGAATGACGCACTCTGTCTGCAGCAGCCCGCCCAATGCGAGCGAAGAAGCAGACGCCGCTGGCGAAAGCGTCGATCCAGACGACTCCCATGCATCAAGAAAGACACGGCCAGTGACCCAAGTCCCGGGAGGCGGAGGCACACTGGGTGGCTGCTTGATACCCCGGTTGTTGGCACATTTGCGCTGGACAAGCACGCGGCTGGAGGACGCGGTTCGACGACCTTGGCCTGACCAGACCATGCGTCTACCAAGCGCAATGGCATGAATGGGGTCGGGAAGTCGCAAACCTCGAGAGAGCCGAATCAGGATCGGCCATTGCCAATGAAAGAGGAGGACCACAATCGACTGCTGGACTTGATGGATTTCCTGGTTCCCTGCAGTGTTGTTCAAAACCAAGTGTACGAGGACGACTTTGCTGACTTGCACCACCCGCCACAGCGCAACCTGCCCGCACGAGGCTTCAAGCCCGCCACACTCCTCGCCCTCTGCGGCGGCGTGGTGCTCTACGGATGGTACCAGTTCGGCAAGGGCGCAAGAGAACAACGGTGAGTCGAACCATCTTCTGCCAATTCAACCAACCCCCTCCCCTCACTCTCTCCCAGACTTCGCGTTACCACCACCAGTTCCCCCCTTCGCTGACAACCCCCGGTGTTTCCCCAGCGAGCTCGCCCGCGAGAAGATGTGGGCCCGCATCCACCTGATCCCCGCCCTCCAGGCCGAGGAGGACCGCGACCAGGTGCGCCGCTACCTGGCCGACCAGCAGCGCGAGCGCGACCTCATGGGCGGCGAGAACTTCAAGGTCTACAACAACGAGAGGTTCGTCAAGCCCACCTTCGCCGTCACGCCCGAGAAGACGAAGTAGTAGTGTGCTTTCGGTTAGGGCGGAAGAGGAGGTGGTGGTGGAAGCAAGGGACGAATGGAGACAGAGTGGGATATTAGACTGGGCATCAGACCACGATCCAGCTGCGTGTCCGACGGGAGCAGCACATACCTGCCTTGAGTGTGTTTGCCAGTCGGGGACAAGATGAGCTCTCTGTACATATGATACGGCTGGCTCAATGGCGACAAGCAATAAAAAAACCAAGAACAAGGCATGGTGTCCTCCAGTGTTACAGAGGGCGTTAAAGAGTCCGGCGCCTGAAAAGTCAAGACGTGTTGGATGCCTCGAGTCAACATTCACCAAGCAACGTCTACGGTGTCTTTCGTATGTGCCGCGTACATTACTTCGTAAAAGCATAGAGTGTATCATCCACCCATACCATAAGAAAACCAGACCCATCATCCATCCCATGCTGGACCGAACCATAAACTCCCCGAGCTCTATGCTTCCCCTCCAAGACCGGTTTCACATAATATAGACACATCCGTCGACATCGGGACATCGAGAGCAAAACAAATCAGGACGTGCGAGCCGTGCTCATCGCGAAGGGAGCTCAGCTTTCTAGGCCGCCGCTTGCACGACCTTGAAGCCATCCGACACCATCTTGGTGATGTCCTCGTTCTTATGTTGCAGAAGCCCCAGCGCAAAGGCCACATCGTTCCATTGGCGCTCCGTATCGCAACGCGGCAGACGAGCCGCAAGCTTGTCGGCCAATTGCTTGGCGTGTTTGTCCTGTGATGATGAAGAGCGTTAGCAAGCCGATACACCCTGAAGATCCCTGAACTCTGCCACGCCAGACTCTGGCTTACCTTCTCCACGAATCCAAGCAGGAACTTGACAATTCTCCTGAAGCTCTCCTCTGCTAGCGCCTTCTCGGCCGAGAGCAGCGAGAACATATCAACAAAGTGGTTATACACCGCGTTATCCTTGGTAGACAGCTCCGTGAAGAACATCCTGGCCAGATCTGCGATGCGCTTGTCCTCGTCCTCCATACACTTGGCCATCTCGCCCAGCTGGCCCTTCACCTTGACCTGTCCAGCCAGGATGAGGAAGGTCAACGTCATCAGACACGTGCGCTTGACCGAAGCATCCTTGTCGGCGAGTCGGCGGTATAAGAAATCCGTGTTCTCATCGATAAGGTGGTTGAAGCACACTGCCATGTCACCCAGCGCGATGACCGCGTTGGACCGCACCGTCGCGTCGGGGGATCGCTCCATGATGGTGATGAGCAAGGGCAGGTTGGCCTCACAATACTCGGCACTGACGCACATCAGCTTTGCCAGGCACAGGGTGGCAGCTGCTTGTAGGCCCTTGTCCTTGTATTTGGTGTTGTTCGCACAGATCTCGCTTACGAGAGCCCCGTACAAGGCCAGCAGGGAATCCTGGCCGTAGAGGAGTTCCCGCTCGCGAATGTGCAGCATGGCCTCGGTGAAATCATCTTCAGTCGTACCGCCAATGAGATCCAGTTCATCTTCAGGCTCATCCTTGTCCCTGGCCACCGTTCCGATGGTCGATGCCCTGTTGTTCCTGCTGTTGCGGCGCGACTCGGCCTCGGCTGCCTTCTCAGCAGCCACAGCCTTCTCCTTTTCTTGCTTGCGGCGCTTGAAGTCCAGCTCGCACAGCTCAAGGTGGACAATCTGCTTGATAGCAACATGGCCCACGATGAATAGGAGCTCAGACAGCGCGATCGCGTTGTCGCGCTTGGGCTTTGAAGTCTCCTCCGCCTGCGTAGCCGGCTGCTGTATTGCCGGCTGTTGCGTTGGGGGCATGACAGTAGGCTCAGCACCATCCTCATCTTCTTCTGCTTCGACCTTGGCCGAGTGTCGGCTTTGCGCTGATTTCTGCGAGTCCCTGGATCCAGGCCTGTCATTGGAATTCGAGCGAGCTCGGCCGGAAAACACAGCCTTTGTCTTGTGGCGGATAATCTCGGAACAAAGCACATCGGGATGCTTGGAGATGGCGTAGATGGCATTGATGGCCTGCTCAGCAACGCCGTACCATTCCTCGTTCTGGGAGGGGACATCTGTAATGGCAGCGAGCTTTTGGAGGACGGCATGCTGGTTCGGCAATCGCGAAAACTTAACGCCAGACTCCTTGGCCTGTCGGCCTGTTGGGTTCAGGCGACGTAACGCTATGCATGTATACTTGGCGAGCTGGAGGTCGCCACGCCCATGGGGCCCAAGACCAGTACGGAGCATGGTTTCCATGTCGCTGACTACGATCTCGGGACTGGCGGTCGCCAACATGCCCAAAACAATGATGGCGCCTCTCCTCTGTGTCCTGGAGATCTCGCGCTTGTGCACGCCGTAGACCTGCCAGAGCTTCGAGATGACGAGGTCGGGAATCATCCCCTGCTTCATCATTGTCGCTAGCAGCTGCTCGAGGGAGGTCAGCTCTGCCGGCGTGGCTCCGAAGGTCAGACTGATCATGTTGCGTGCAATAAAGTTGGCAGCATCGTTGGGGCTGAACGAATCCGGGGCCTCAAAGAACAGCCGCTTGTAGCACTCGATGAGATGTGCCTGAACGCCCTTTCCTTCGTCGCTGTTGCCCTTGGTCCAGATCAATCTCAGCATTCGGCGGATGCCTACTTTGTTCTGCTCAATGTTATAAGCATCGCCAACCTCGAAGTAGTCCATTGCCTCGATCACCTCGCTCTTGTTCTTGGACCCGAGCAACTGGCAGACGGTACCAGTTGCCTCGTGCAGGACGTCGATAAACTTGAGGGCTTCCGTGTAGTACCGTCGGGTGAGGGTGAGCTTCTCGATGGCCTCCGAGGTCGCGGCATCCTCCTGCACTTTCTGGATGGCAGCGAGCTTCTCTTCCTCCGTCATCTCGGCAGGGTCGTTCTTTTGCGGGGACGGCTCGACTTGCGTTGCCTCATCAAGCAGCTGCTCATCCACTGTGACATCCGCCCTACCCTGGCTGTCCATATCTGGCGCCCCAGCTGGAGGCTTCAAAGCATCGAGTTCCTGGTCGACCTTGTTCAGGCGCTCCTGCCACTCTTTTCGGGCCAGCTGGTGGCCATGCATGACAGTAAACGGATGTGTCTTGATGAGGCAGCCCAGCAGCTTGATGGCATTCCTCCTGACATTGCTGCTCTTGTCTTCGAGGCTTCGACACGCCAGCTCAGCCGCCCTCTGTCTTCGCTTGGGGAACTTCTGCTGGAGGTCACACAGCTTCACGTAGACCTGGATTGCCCTGCAACGACAGTAGGGGTTGATGTCGAGGAAACGCTCCTCCAGGACGTCGAAGAAGGCATTCAGCTGGGACTTGTAGTTCTCTCCGCGTTCTTCTTGTTTGCTCAAGTAGATAAGCATGTTGCCACAGACTTCAACCAGTGCGCATCGCAGCGTGTAAGACTGGGTTCGTTAGCTTCAGAACAGGCCATCAAGTGGACAGAATTTCAGAGCCTACCTCGCTATCGAGTTGCTTGGCCAACATGGTCATTTGCTTGATCACCAGCCTGGGTGCCAGCTCAGACAACTTGACCATGAAGGTAGAGACAGACTTAGGGCCCCGGGTGTCGTTACTGTTGAACTCCTTGTTACTGAGTTCGCGCAGTACCTCCTCCCCGAGCTGCGGGTAGTCATATTGCTCTGCCAAAATGTGTAGAAACTCCGCCATCGGCTCGGACAAGTGCTCGAAGTAGGTCAGGTTCTGGACAATGGAGATTTGCGCGGCTGGGAAACCATAGTTAGCTTAGTATCGTGCAGCCACCGCCATCGCCACTGATTCTATGGAGGAACCTACCGTAACCGTGGCCGTGGTGCTTGACAGCAATACACAGCACCTTGAAGGCGTGCATTCGGATGGTGGTGTTCTTGATTCGTTGCTCGCTCTCGAGGATCAAGTAGACGGGCCGGGTGATCAGGCCGATAAAGGTGTCTCGTTCGGAGGTCGTCAAGAAGATCTTGCCCAATTTCAACCGCAGCACCTTGCACATGGTGTCGAGGGCTATCTGAAGTTGGGCAGCGCTGTCCCAGTTCGCGTCCTTGTCTGCCGCAGCAGCCTTCTTGCCCTTGGGCTTCCTGCCTCGAGCAATCGGTGCCGACGATGACTTCTCGGCAGCCTTGGTCTCGACGCAAGAGATGGTCCATTGCAGGAGGAATCCGTAGATCTCGAGGAGATGTTTGTGGTGGGAGAGAAGGTCCTGCTCATCGGACTCGAGGTCGGTGTGGATGATGTCGGCTTCGGCGGACAGACCGGAAGTGATCAGATCAAAGACCTTTGAGAGCGCATGTGTAGGCAGGTATGGAGTATATCTGGAGAGTTGGAAGAGCTTAGAAACATGTCCCTGCAGGTCCGCGAAAGGTGCTCGTGGGTCTTGTTCCTGGCCTGGATCTGGGTCTAGGTCTGGGTCTGGAGTCTGCTCTGGAGTGGGCAGGGTTGAAGGTGTATCTGTGTCTGCGAGAGGACGCGCGCTCTTCCGCGCCAGCGCGGATCGCGAGGGCGAGGGCGCAGAGGCATGGACAGAGGCATTGGCAGAGGAAGCAGGTTCGGTAGTGGCCGGGAAAACGGAGGGGGAAAGGGAAATGGGGGCGCACTTGAGGAGGAACTGCAGCGAGTCGAAGTGGGCGCTGCGCGTGATGGCATCCGGGTTCTCGGCGACGGCGTCGATAATCGGGTTGAGGACGGGGTTAATCACGCCGTTGGTGAGGCTTTCTGGGTCGTTTTCGCAGTCGAACAACGCGGAGTCGGCCTGTTCGGTGGGTATTGTGGCAGGGTCGCTCATGTAGAGCTTGAGCGCCTCGTTGATGTCGAAGTTGACGTTGTCCATCTTGGCTGCCGGGTCGCCTGGTCACACAGACAGGCAGGCTCGTCTGGTGCTCGTGTCGTATGGCGGGTTGGGTATCGTGAAGTCGAAAGAGATGGAGGACAAAAGGATCAACAACAAGTAGATGGGAAAGAGGCAAGGAAAGTGCGGTGGCAGAGTGCAGTCCCGTGGAGCAGCAGACACGGCGACCTGGTCACAGCTCGCGCAACATTCGAAAGTGGTCCGGAGTCCCTAACTCGGTGGCGACGGCAACCTTGAAGATGCAAAAGGAATGGACGTTGCGACTCGGTCGGGTGGGCCTGCCTCTCTTTGCCCTGTTGTTGACGCAGGTGGGTGTTGACAGGGAAGGTGGGATTTCTTCGCGGGGGCCCGTTGGAAGGTGCTGGGCAACCAGCTGCCCACTTCAGGAGCTTTGTTTTGTTTGGGGTGGGCGCGGGTGGCTCGACGCGTGCGGATCGGTACCCCGCCAATTTTGCAGCGCAGTAATCCGCGTCAGTCGAGCAGTCCAAGGCTGCAAGCACGAAGCACGCTTCCTTGCAGGCCACCAACCTCGGCGCCCCATGCCCCAATCCCTGCTCTGCCATTGACCATTGACTATTGAACGACCATTTTCGAGGCCACTAGACTACTCTCGAGTCGTCAATTGGACCTTTTTGGACGTCTGGGTTGTTGCTCCTGGCTGGCAGTTCGACTTGTCGTCTCACTTCCCTGCGCGTTCAACAGGAACGACTTCGTTCTAACGGCCAGCATCCTCTCTTTACACCCTCTTCTCTTGGCCTCTCCCTCAACTCTCGACCCTTCACGCACTCTATCGCCGTCCCCCACCCAATCATGTCGCCTGCAGTCCGCCGGCGGCGGCCAGACGACTTCCAAATCCACCAGGATGGCCCCTCGACAGAAGACACCGAGATGAACACAGACGCTGCTGGCGGCAGGGAGGAGGAGTACATTGACGAGGAAGACCAAGAACAGGAGCAAGACCAGAGTCAAGAACGGGGGGCACGCGGGGCCCGTCGGGACGTCGACGAGGAGGAGGATGAGGAGCCTGAGCTTGATGAAGACGACGAGGACGAAGAAGAGTCAGACGAGGAAGAAATACTGGACGATGACATGAGGAGGCTCCAAGATGCTTTCCCGGGCTTCAGACGCAAATACAAGCTCATCAAGAGGATCGGAGAGGGTGTGTAGACGCCAATTCTCGCCCGTCGGCGTGCTGTGACTTTGACACTGACTGACTGCTACTTTCAACTTTTCCAGGCACATTCTCCACCGTCTACAAGGCCGAAGACCTGCAGTACGACCGCTACGAGAACAAATGGGATGTCGACAAGGAGAACGAGTCGTGGACTCCGCCTCCCCTCAAGCGGCACGTCGACCGCAGTAGCAGCTCTTCTGCCACGATCGACCAGGCCTCAGAGCTCACATCCCGCGCCACGCGACAGCACCGCACACGGTCACGCTTTGTCGCCATCAAGAAGATCTACGTCACGTCCTCCCCCTCGCGAATCCTCAACGAGCTCGAGCTGCTTCACGACCTACGCGACTGCCCTGCCGTCTGCCCCCTGATTACGGCCTTCCGAAGCACAGATCAGGTCATTGCCATCCTCCCCTACTTCTGCCACCACGATTTCCGGGATTATTTCAGGAACATGACCATCCCCGACATGGCCGTTTACCTCCGCTCGCTCTTCACAGCATTGTCAGCTGTTCACCGGAATCACATCATACATCGAGACATCAAGCCTACAAACTTCCTCTACGACCCCTCGACGCAACGTGGTGTTCTTGTAGACTTTGGCCTTGCAGAGCGGGAGGGCGAGGACAGCAAGCCCTGCTACTGCCACGAAGAGCCCAGTGTCCGGCGGCAACGCCTGAGGGCAGCCGTCATGGCCAACGGTGGTCCCCATCGTGGCTACCCAAAGAATGATACCCGCCCCTCTCGTCGGGCCAACCGTGCCGGCACCCGCGGATTTCGTGCGCCCGAGGTCTTGTTTAAATGCACCGAGCAGACCACCAAGCTCGATATCTGGTCCGCCGGTGTGATCCTACTCACCATCATGTCCCGCCGGTTCCCCTTCTTCAACTCGGCTGACGATGTCGAGGCCATGATCGAGATCGCGACCATCTTTGGCCACAGAAGGATGCGCATAGCCGGGCAGCAGCATGGGTGTATGTTCGACACCACCATACCTACTATCGGGCAGAACGGTTTCGACCTGGGCAAGATCATCATGTGGAGCACCCTTCGAGACGAGAAGAAACAGCCTTTCTCCGACGAAGAGAGGATCGCCTTGGATTTCCTGGCTCGTTGCATGGAGCTGGACCCGAGCAAGAGGATCGATGCGGACGAGGCGCTGGAGCACGAATTCTTGATGATGGGCATAGAGAGCCAAGGCAGCGAGGAGGAAGACATGGATGTGCTTCCAACAGACGAGTACTGAGATGGGAATTGGTGGACAACATTTGAGGGTTCATTCCACCTGGAGTTTGGGAGAGGGCTCAGTTTCCTTGGGCCGTCACGCGAAGACGTATGTACTATTCAAGCTGTACAATATGCGACCGGATTCGGCGTCTGTGGCTCGGCGGTGGGCATGGCATGGCTGGCGTTGGTCCGAGTATGGCACCTGGGCGGGACTTACGTGTACTGATGCACATGTAGAAGGCGTTGGAGTTTGCGGTATACCAATTTAATCATCGATGACACCAAGGCGCTGTCGCCTCAATCCGGGCAGCCCAGGCGACATGAGACTTGCAACCACCTGGCACCCGTCTCACACAGCGATCAGCCGGATTCATACTTCCCTCGCTCAACAAACGGCATGTCCTGCGGCCTCAGCACTCCGTCCACGGAGCGGACCATCCTGGAACATCAGCTGTATGCTGTGAAGAGGTAACGCGAGGCAAGGCTGAACCCCCATGGCATTTAGCTGCCTCCTTCCGAAGGGCAGAAGGTGAGACTAACGTCACAGCAGCGACAACAAACACTTTGTCTGTCACCGGTTCTTTGATCAAGGTACTCAATTGCTATACTAATACAGGACTAATCAATGTTCTTAGACCGCTTCGAAGTTATCAAACACTATACATCAATCCAAGCTTCCCTAATCCGGTCCCTGGCCGGCTCAACACCGGGGCGTCCTCTCCCAACCAGCGCGTACCACGTCTCACTTCGATATCCCCTGTTCCTCCGGGTAGATGACGACCGCCTGGAGAAGCACCTCCTGCAAATTCGTACAGGCCCTCTTGACGACATTGTTCAGGGCCGACGCGACGGTCCAACCACACCTTTCCGACTGGGCGACCGACGTGTACCCGTGCTGCAGGCCACAGATGAGCAGGAAATCGGCCGAGTAGTCGATGGTGCACCGCAATGGCTCGCGCTGGAAGACGGGCTCCGTCAGCCAACCCACCACCGTGTCGGCGGGGAGCAGCAGGACCGAGCTGTACGAATTGAGCGGGCCGAACGTGATGTACGCGGCCCACCAGGCGTCGCCGATCTGCTGGAACAGGAGGCCCGTCTCGCGGTCCAGCGTCCACGCGGCCGCGTCGTCCAGGTTCGCGGTCACGTGCGTTTTGAGGTTCGTCGTTATGGTGGTCCCGTCTGGGTCGTCCGTCGCGAAGTACTGCCCGGTCAACGTGCCCGCGCTGATCTTGATGAAGATCTCGGGCCCTATGGGTTCGAACGGGGTCGGGCCGCTCGATTCTGAGCTCTGCGTTGCGGAAGACTCCACGGATGATGGCTCCACGGATGATGGCTCCACGGATGATGGTTCCACGGATGATGGAGCCTCAGTGGTGCTGAAATTACCCGTCTCGAAGGGCAGGAAGGAGTGCGACGATGTGGTTGGTTCAAACTCGGACGACGTCTCTGGTGGAGTTGACATCTCTGGTCGAGTTGACGTCGTAGGTTCTGCTGATGCAGCTGTGGAGTAGTTCGAGAAGCGTTCTGAGGAAGTTGGTGTGTAGGATGTACGGAAGACGGTCGAGAAAGAATCAGAACTCGTCTCGTTCGAGATGGCGAGCCTGGAGGAAGAGAACGGCGCTGAAGAAGGCAACGTGCTGGCACAATTGCATTGCGAAGACTGCGCCGGCGGTGCTGTGGGCTCCGCTATGCAGAAGACGGGGCCGGAAACAGTGAGCGACATGGCAAAGAACTCGTCCACCTGGATGGTCACGATCACAGAACCCCCGCCAACCGCAAGGCAAGCTGGCTCTAGGCCCGGGCCTACGACTATCGGCTCAGGCAACCTGCTGCCGCTGTTGACCGGTGAGGCTGTTATCAGAGGTCGTGACGAGATGCCGGCCCTTGATGTCCCTGGGATGATAACCGTATTTGTTGCAACTGGTTGCGGCGCCGTTGTGGTCGTTGGTCCGGCGCCGATGCACGAGCAGGCACTCTCGAAGCGGTATGCCACATCTCCATAGCAGGCCCGCACGATGTAGGTGGGGATCACCTGCGACGGAACAATGGTGCTGGCACCAACAAAGGGGCCACTGATGGTGGTGATTTCTCCAATACCGGACGTGATGGTCACTGTGCTCGTCGTTGGGGGCGGAATGACGGTCGTGATGAAATGTGCAGAACACTCCTCAGCCCCTGCGGGGTTCCAGTACATGGCTGTTTCTTGTCAGTATATTTCTTCTCTTCGAAGGTTGGTATGTACTTCCTAGGGTCTCGCACCTCCGTAACAATTGTCTTCGATACAAGCAGCATCCGCGCTCCGGAGCACCATGGCAGCGGCCAGAATCAAGGGCAGCTTTCGAAACGACATGATGGGCAGTATACTCCCCGGGAAATGAATGAATGGTAATGTGGTAAAGAACGTGGGCTTGGGGGATTGGAAGATTAGACTGGTGACATGTACTCCTCAGGCCGTTGATGGTTTGTTTTCCCAATACTGCCCTATTAAGAATACCAAGACCACCTTTATACTTCAGAATTTCAAGCCCGTCTATCTGAAAGGGAGAGGCTGGTCCTCATCCGCATGCTGAGGACGATCTCTGTCTTTCTCTTCGCGCCACTCCCTTCTCATCTTGCCAACATCACGATCCCGCAGAGTGCCGATTCAGGGGCGCAGGAAAATGATAACACTAAAATGGAAACGATCTGTCTGTTCTGGACCTTTCAACATCTCATGCCCCTGTCGTTTAGCCACTGTAGGCATTGATCAACACGAGCAAGACTTCACAAGATCGCCGACACGCGCTGCAAGGGAGCCCATATCAGGCAGTCAGGGTGAACACGAGCCAACAGGATTGTGTACTTTGAGTGGAAGCTGATGGCGGGTTCGACTTGAAAGTCTAGCAAGAATAAGCGTGTATATGGCATACTCCGCTGTCCCCGTCTCATGTTGCCGGGACGGGATGGCGTGGAATGTTAAAACAAGCTTAAGCAAGACACTTTAGCTATCCCATGTGGTCCGAGTCTGCAACGATTGTCTCACTGCACCCGCCTCTCACATTTAACCCCTCTGTTCAGGGCGATTACATGCACAACCGTCGTGCCTTTGGAGCTTTCTAGACAGACAAGACAGGCATCTGGGGCCAAGGGCAACAGTCATGTAATGTTGGCGGAAAGTGCCGCAATAATGGAGAGCTGCCGTCTTAGGTAGTATGTAATTATCCTCGAGGTGTTTTGCACCACTAATAGTCTAAATTTTTCTCACTAGATAGAGGGAGATACTCTAGGACAACATCTCGGACAACACCGCTTGCATACCGCAGCACTCCTGGTCAAAGTGTTTAGAGCAGTAGACTGTGTCCGGCTCTGCTTCTTGCCGGCGGTTCCACTGGCCTTCCTCGGTGATTTTGTAGATTCGATGGCTTCTTCAAGAGCCACGCCTGTTTGGGTCTTTTGTGAATTTGTGTCACGCCTCTGGGCCCGAGCATCCCGTGCGATTCGCGAAGCCTTCACGCTGGCGCTCTCTGCCGCGACCGCGCCCCGAGGCCTGATCCGAGCTGCGCTGGGCAGGTGATCCCCATCCTGGGCGTCGCATTTGCACGGAAAATCCGGCCATGAGAAGTAGGCCGCGCCATAATCGACAAATAGCTGCTCGCCGGCTTCAATCTCCTGGTTGGCGACGCACAGAACCACCTGCCGCTTGCCGTACATCCCAATCCGGGCGGTGACGTTTGGGTTGCAGTGATGGTTCACGAAACGTGTGAGGTTGCCAAATTGGTTGGCCGTCACATCGGCAATCTCAGGGATGACGAAGACGTACCTGTCGCGGGGCGGCAGGGACTTCAGGGGATGAAGCCTGCCCAGGTACTCTCCGATGACGGATCCACTCGGTATTGTCTGATTAGCAAACACCCCTTTGCCCGTTGCTCCAGCCCCTCTGATATCACACATTTCCTTACCGGCAACAGCAATAACGTCCTGGAAGTATTCGACACACGCTCGTTCACCGCAAGTATCACGTCCGTTGCCGCACTTTAGTGCTCGTAGTCAGCAATCTATCATGACAGGTACATTTGTACTTGCACCATGCTTGTGTTGCAAACTACGAAGTAGACGTTCTTGGGTAGGAATCCTAACTTACCACCTCACAATTCAGGGAAAAGACATTTCGACTCAGCACGCCATGAACCGTGGCACTTTCCGAAGGCCAATCATTCGGGTCTATAACGTAATCCGTGGTCTCTCGAGGGTCTGAATGGGGTCCATGTACTGGCTGTACTTGCCCGGCCTCATCTATCCACTCAAAGAGTGGAAGTGTCTTCGTGTCTGGTACTTTCACCATTTTCCAAAGCAGATATTAATGATTTTAAATAAGAGAGAAAGCTCGGTGGGGCGCCTGTCCTGCACAGTTGTTTGGGCTATTAAAAAAAAGTACAGGAAGAATTGTATTGCGAATGGAGTCGATCTGGTTGAGCAGGTTGAACAAGAAATCAAGCGAGTTAACTCGGGATAGTTGCATGGCCTTTCCAGAATGCACAAGCAACTTAAAGCTTCTGCCATTGTCCGGATGGAAAGGGCACAGAGGTGGGAATTGCCTTTGTTTTGGAACAGTATTCTATTTACAGTCCGTTATGAGAAAGCAGCTTTTGTAGCCGTTGTGTATATTTAGATATGGCTTTATCCCATTGCAACTTGGGCCTTGCCGCCCCTAGCATATGATGCAAGCCTCTACAATGAGATCCGCTGGTCATGTAAAGTGGGTTTAATTGAAGTCCTGATCGTGTTCCTGAATTTGAGAACCTTGACTAGGTGCTACTTGACGCGTCACTGACTTGGTGTGTTATACTATAATGTTAAATAGCATTGCCTTTCACAATAGTCAGCTCATGTGGGTTTAATAGACTGGTTCTGAGAAAATCGCATCAAAGTAAGCTCCCACAAGTGATGTGGGTTCGTGCTGGCTGCATTCTCCTGGTTTACGCTCTGAGAATATCACCCGAAAACCTTTGATTTGGATATTTGCGTACAAGAGTCCCTCAAGCCTTGTAATATACGTATGAGTAGGCGAAGTATCCATTGAGTATAAAAGCTACCAGAGCTAAAGTAAGCCAGGAACGCCTTAGGAGTATTATGAAGTCGGCTCGATAGGATTAACATCTGTCTCTTGCAAGCCAGACCGATTAAAAATGCCGTTGGCTCACTGTTTGAAGGACACCTCATTCGTTTCCGGGCAGAGATGCTGACTTCCATGCCAGCTATTGAGAAAACGAGCGCGAGTGAACCTCTGAGACGAAACTATGTCATCAGTTTCATCCATCGGCGCCTCGCAGTCAATTAAGCATTCTTGCGTGAAAGTCGACTCTGGAGGAGACTCAAGTCGTGCTCATCTGCTGGTCATAATAGCACTGGCTCCAGACCCTGGACGCTTGAGGGCACTTGTGCAGTTGGCTCCTGAGGCTCGAAGCCTCAGGAGACCCGTGTTGACCCACGCGCAATGGCCCTGAAAGTAGATTGTGAGCTTCAGGTTGTTGATGTAGAGATATTTCTCGACCGGCACGACCAGCCGGTGAGGTCTGGTGGGTGGTGTATAGTGTGTGCTTGATAAAGAGGAGTACAAGATGATGCGGTGGTCTCGTATCACTGCCTTGTCGGGATCCCGAGAAGCAAGAAAAATTACGCCGGATAGAGCTGGTCACTCATTGGGCCGAAGCCGGGCATCAAGACGGTGGACGAGGGCTTCACCTAGAAGCGCGGCGAAAAAGCTGCGGCGTTGAACACAAAGCTCAAAGAACCGCGGATACCCATACAACACCAAAGCGAATCGCGTCACACGACCACAGGAGATCCAGGAGAACCGGCCGTATCAGGGATATCACAACACGTCTCGATTCAGATGCGTCGCTTCGTTGGGTCTTTTTATCATTTCCACATTGGCCTTTTATCTGACACAGGACATCCACCCATCCACCACCCATCTGCCCAGCTCTAGGTGGCTTCCACGGCCGCGCGGCCATGGCTTAACCTGTTGCTTGCTCTCTCCATCGTCTAGAAGTGTCCTCGTCCCGGAGTGGCGTTTGAACGCGTCGCGCCCGTGCGTTTGGTGTCTGCCCGTCTGTCGCCATTGTATAGTACAGTTTTGTTTGTGTCGAGAGTTTGTAGGACAGGCCCGGGTCCGTGATTTAGTGAGCATCGGGTTGGCTCAGGATGTACTCAACGGCTTTGTCGACTGAAAGGAGGAGAGTCTGATTAGCCAATCTCTTTCTCGCCGCCAAAGCAGCCGTGACTAGAGGCCCATGCCTCAAGTTGGCACAATTGTTGAGGGAAGTGGTTTTGCTTACCGGAGTGGATGGCATCTGCGTCCTTGTCGGGGATCTCGATGCTGAACTCCTGTGTTGCATGCGTGTCAGCGCGAATACCTCGGCTTGATTTGCGACCAGGAGCTGAGCCCTGCATCGCGGAAGGGAAATTCCCGTACCTCCTCGATAGCCATCACAACCTCGACGGTGTCCAAGCTGTCCAGGCCCAGATCGTTGGCGAAGTGTGCGGTGGGCTTGATCTGCATTGAGAAACCCCGATGATGTCAGTCGCAAAAGTTCCTACTGCTGGGGGCCTTGATTAAAAACAGGCGTTGTTTGTCCGAGGGTACATACGTTGCTGGGGTCGTTGACCTGCGAGAAACCAAATTGTTAGCAGAAATCGCCAAGGTACAGCAAGAATCACGCCGGGCCTGGGCAAGCCTGCCAGCCCGTCCCAACCTGCGATCCGAGAGAGGCAGCACAAGGCGCGACCACGGCAACCTAACCGTCCCCATCGCGGCACATCAAGGGAAGATGACGCCTCGCCCCTGCACCCCTCGCCCCATCCAACTCGCAAAATAACAAACGCACCTTATCAAACCCAGCCAGCAGGCTGGTGATGCGCCCCTCGACATCCCCCTTGGACAGGCCGGAGCCAGCAGCGTAGCACCGCACCGAGTTCCAGCCGGCGACGCGCGAGACGGGGGCGGCGGCAACAGCCCTCGAGGCGAGGGTAGGTCTCGAGACGACCGAGGAGAAGCTGCGGCTGGTGTTGGTGGCGACGACGGACCGGCGCGCGGCGGAGGCGGCGGATCGGAGGACGGCTGCTGAGCGGAACATTTTGATTATGTGTTGGTGGTCAACCGGGGGACGATAGGTTCGTGAACTGAGGGAGATCTCGGTGGGTACGAAGGTCGGTGGTTGTGGAAATCAATTGCAGGGCAGAGCCGGTTTGTCGTCGACGGGGGTCGATGGGGGGGAGGAGCTCCTTCTCTGGTCTGCAAGCAAGCAATGTACGGGTCGATGATGATAAATTTCTCGCTTGCGAATCAGAGAGCCGGCAATGCTGGGCTGGGGAAGCTTGGGCCACCCTCCTTATGTCAGCAGCTGAGCAGGAGCATTGAGCACTGGATTGCTGTGCCGTGGCCCTTGGCACTGTGGACTCGGGGTGGCCAAGCAAGCAGTGCGGACTACAGCAAGAGCTCCGGTTCCACCCGCCGCCACATTGCCTTCAGAGTGACTTGAAACTGCGTGGAGGGCTGCACCGTGAGAGAGGGCTGAACGAACAGAGTATTGGAACTGGAACTGGTAGACATAGGACAAATGGAATGCTGCAGCATTTGATGATGGATTTCATATACATAGTTTTGTCTACATTCGTCTCCCCCTGCCGTCACCGTGGTGAAAGCCCTGGACAACACACCAGGTTGCCATCTTAATTCCCTTTCCTTTCCAAGTCCTTGAGCCCAGGCTGTCGTGTCAATCCACATGTCATGAACGCTCACAGGCTCATTGTGGTCACAGCCATTATCGGTAGGGGGCATCCGCCCGGATGAGCGCCGCGAGCTCGGGCTCCCACTTGTCTCCGTTCGCAAGCAATTTCTCTGTAGATCAATCAAGTCAGCAAGAGATCTTCAACAACAATGAAGCACCAAATTCATTTATCCACTCACCCTTGTTGTACAGCAGCTCCTCGCGGGTCTCGGTCGAGTACTCGGTGTTGGGGCTCTCGACGATGGCGTCGACGGGGCACGACTCCTGGCAGAAGCCGCAGTAGATGCACTTTGTCATGTCGATGTCGTAGCGTGTCGTGCGGCGGGAGCCGTCGGCGCGCTCCTCGGCCTCGATGGTGATGGCCTGCGCCGGGCAGATGGCCTCGCACAGCTTGCAGGCGATGCAGCGCTCCTCGCCCGAGGGGTAGCGCCGCAGGGCGTGCTCGCCACGGAAGCGCGGGGAGATGGGGCCCTTCTCGAAGGGGTAGTAGATTGTGTATCTGTCGGTGGGGAGTCAGCCAGTCGTTTTCTGTGTTATGCCTCGATCTATGCCTCTGTATCGTGTGTACCGCATCCGATGCTGTTTGCTTTGAATGTGCCCCCCAACATCAAAGCCAGCTTCGTCCCCCAAATGCATCGACCATCCAAACATCTTCCATGATTCCAACTGGGGAAAGCAGGGCAATGCAACAACCGAGACTAAATCCAACTTACGGTGGCCGGAAGAACTGCTCCAGCAGGACGTACATGCCCCGTGCCATCTCGGTCATGAGGAAGTACTTGCCCACCTTGTTGAAGGTGGACTCGTCCTCCTCGTCCCACTTCTTGGTCGGCTGCTGGCGGAAGCCCTTTGGCGGCGGGCCCAGGGGCGTCGCGTAGCCCCGTCTTGCCATCACTTGTGCTGCTGCTGCCGCCGCCGGCGTGGCGAAGCGATATGTGGTGGTGGCGGTAGCCGTGGGGAGGATGGAGGATGTGGCGCACGCTCTGGCGAGACGCCGGGCTGATGTTGTCGACAGCATCGTGGGCTTCGTCTCGGGTCGAGTTGTGCCTGTGTTTGGATGGCTACGGAGGATCGATGACAGAAGAGGCGAGCTGTCTGTGCAGCTTGCGACTGTCGAGGCAGGGCGAGGATTGAAGGGGCCAGTCGGGAGGCCAATTGGGCAACGTCTCGGTCGGCGGAGGGAGTCGGTGGGTTTGGATCCGGGGTGGAGAGGTGCCCAGGCGTAGATGGATGGTTGGTCTGTCGGCGGGAGTCGAGAGCCCTCCTTCAATTGAACGGAGCTTGACGTCGGGCGGTGGGTGGCACTTCTCTCTGGGTGCGCGAGCTGTTTTGGTGGTATTACAAACGGCTGGTTCTGGTTGGCTGAGGGGGCGGGAATGTGGGTCCCAGTGATGACCGTTACATACGGTCATCCGGATGGCGATGTACCTAGGTACCTACTTGTTGCCATCAAGAGCAACTGAGTGAGGAGCACACTCATTACAATTCTTCTGCACGAATACAAGGTGGAAAGTTATTTAAGATGCTAAACAAGTCCCAGGGCAACGATGAGAACAATAAAATAGAATATAGAAATAAAAATAAAAAGACAGACTCGCTGCACATTGCTGTCGCTCGCTTATTCTATCATGGCTGCTGGTTTCACCAGCTCTAGCAAAATTATCGTCACGTCCACATCCAAACGCTGAGAGTCTGTCTACCTACACTCATTACCAATATTGGACTCATGCAGAAAAGGGCAGAGATTGGGGTATTGATCCTGAACCAGACAAATCAACAATGCAAATGCCGCCACTACCAACTGACCGTCACGTCATCCCCTAGAAACTCCGCTCCCACGCTTGCCACCAGATGCCCATATTAGCAGCCACCACGAGGTCCAGCATCTTGAGCCCTTCGTCATGCACGAGCAGTTTGCCCAGCTTGGCCCTCTTCCCCCTGTTTCCCCCGCCCGCCTTCTCCCTCCCGAGTCCAGAGAAGTCAAAGATGGGCTCCTCCTTGTCGTCGTCGTCATCATCATACTCGTGACCCCCGGGGCTCCTGACAAGCAGCCGCCCCAGCCCCTCCTTCATCTCCGCCACCGCCCGGTCCCGGTCCTCCTTGGAGTTGAACAGGTCCGACGACGGCAGGTTGAACCGCAGCTCGCTGACGGGCACCCGGTTGCCCATGTCGCCCATCGGGAGGGACGCGCTCATTCCCCTTGCCCGGCCGGCCCTCCCATTTCCTCCTCCTGCCCCTCCGCCGCCGCCAGAGCCGCCGTTGTTCTCTGGCAGGGCGTCGCGGAGCGCCTGGGCCGCCACGAGCGGGTTGAACCCCTGCGAATGCGTGTTGCGGATGTGGTGGCACTTGAGGGCCCGCCCGTTGCTGCTCGTCCGGAAGTCGCACCGCCCGTCCCACGGGGAGGCGAAGGTGTATCCCTTTGGACGCAGGCCGGCCCCGGGGCGGGCTGTTATGAGCGGTTCGTCTGGCTTTGGTGTCGTCGTTGTGGCCGTGGGGTTCGCGGCGGCGGCTGTGGATGTGGCACTCATGTCAGAACCGTGGCGTTGGTGTTGGTTCTGGGGCTGGTTGTGGTTCTGACGATGATGATGGTGATGATGTTGTTGTTGATGATGGTGGTTGGCGTCGTTATTGGCCGGGTTCGGCACCAGCGAGCCGAACATGGAGTCGTTGGAATTCGTCGAGTTGCCACTGTCTTGCCTTCTGTGGAATCCTGCCCGTGGAGGGTCGAGCGGCTCATTGTAGGCCGAGTCGGTCGCGCTGGTGTTGGTGGACGACCTGTCGCGCCTCTTGCCGCTGAAGGCCTCCTTGAGGTTGGATGTCCACGTCTTGGTATAGGTCATGGCGACTTGTCTCTTAAATCCTTCCTCGGTGTCGTCCTGTCCCTTTTGCTGCTCTGCCTGGGCCTGCAGGCTCGCCGCCAACTCCTTCATGGTCCTCGCAGAACTGCCGCTCGACCCTGGACGTGCGCTGTCTAAGCTCATCCTCGGGAGATCCGACATCTTTGGCAGAGCCGTGGGGAAGTTCCGGAATCGTGCGTACCCGCTCGTCTCGATGTGCACGGTGATGGCGGGGTAGCCCTTGGGATACTGGGCGATCTTGGGCGAGTCTGGGTTCTGAGGGTCCTGCGCGACGATGATGGTGCTTTGAAAGGAGCTGACCTTGCCGATGTTCCACTGGTGTCCCGTGCTAGGGTCGCGGCGAATGATAGAGAGGGAAAAGGGCGTGAACGGCTTCTTGTTCGATTGGGGGGACGGAGAGCGAGATTGTGCGTTCGGCGACTGAAACCCTGGGCTGCGGATGGGACTGCGAGTCTCTTGAATTTCATCGAAAGTTTGGGCTGGTAGATGATCAAGATGCAGAGGCCCTGGTGCAGGCCTTGGTGGGAGGTCCGGGCGAGCCTCATCGGGGGTTGGAGGCGTTGATGGCTTCACGACAGCTGCAGGTGCGGTAGGTTCGTACGGATGGGGCTCCCTGCCGGGCGAGGGCGGACCCGTAGATAATGGGCGGGGTCCCAACGGCTTCCTCACCACTGAGCCTTGGGGTTTGATCGCAGATAGCTTGGTCGGGGATGGTTGAGCCGGCATGTGAGGGCCGTCATTGAAAGGGTCGGCAGCGCCAGCAGCCTCTCCGCCCAGGGGGACGTTCTCCTTGTCGTGTGAGGACGAGTCCAATGGCGGGTACTTGTGCTGGTCGGTCGGAGCGGTGTCGTCTGGGGGCGGCCCAGGAGTGGCAACTGAGGTCGCCTCCTGGAGGGGAGGGACTCTGGCTGTGGAGGGCAGAGGTTTCCTGGCGATCCTCTGGGTCATGGTAGACTCCATGCTGGGCCTTGGGTTGCCACTGTCGACAGCAGCGGCGCCCTTGGGAGCCAGCATGTCATCGCCATCGGTGTCCAGGTGGATGTAGTAGAGCGAGTTTGCGACGTCTTCACCGCCGACAACCTTCCTCTGCGGCTTGAAGGTGGACAGTATTATGTCTGGCGATGACGTCAGTTGCGGGATTCCATCGCTCGGAAAACAGGGAGGTCGTGCTTACCGCGACATCCGGGGACTCTGGAGATGTAGAGGGTGAGGGTCTCTTTGCGCTCCGTCGGGTTGATGGGATATTGAGGGGGATGGGCGGCGATGTGGTTGAGGGCGGAGAGAGACCTGGCCTCAACGCTGGCCATGGTTGAGGGAGGAGGGAGGGAGGGATGGGGGATTTGGTGAAAGTTGCCACGCTTGAAATGAAGATGCAGATGAAGATGCTGATGGTGTCGAGTGAGGATGAGAGCAAGAGTGACAGTGAGACCAAATCTCACGATGGAATGGATTTAAGCCAAGGCTGACGGCATCAGACGACGCCGGCGACAGCACAGCTCGGGAACTAGTGGGCCGTAACAAGCAAGTGCCTTGTCGGAGTTGCACTGCTGCACGCAAAGTATGTATGTGGTGTACTGAAGTTGAAGTGTACTGAACGGGTGTGCAGGTCGATCAATAAACCAAGTGGGCTGGATCAGGAACTGCTGTGGTTGGGAGTCGGGATTTAGTGATGCAGGTGCAGCAGGTGGCGTCGAGGATTGTCGAGTCAAATGTACTTATTACTCTTGGGTAATGAACCCAACCCAAGCCAACTCAGCCCAGCTCAACCGGTGGCCCATCCGGTGGTAAAGTGAATGTCTGAGGTCTCCCACAACGTGGTTTGACGTCGCGGATGGGAGTGGGTCGTTGGGGGCCTGCACCCTGGGCGACGACGACAGACAGGTGGCCCTGGCGGTAAGATGGGCTGAATGAGTGGGTGTGTGACGAGTGCTGATGGGGTTTGGGGCCCGCTGTGGCTGCCGGCAGATCCTTAGCCAGGACCCAGGTACAGCACTGTGTAGGGGCCGAACTGGTGGCCTCTTGACTGATCAACCGACTGGCTGGATTGACCGACAGATGGGTTACACTGAACGAGAGCCGTTGAAGAAACCAACGTGGTGAATGCTGAGTAACCTCGTCCGTCTTATACTGAGTACAGATCGAGTGTCTAGTATTTAGTGCAGGCCAAGGCGAAGAATTTCAAGGCAGACAATGACGAAAAAGATACGGTGCAGGCGTAGTCGTCGTCAGCATCAAAGAAGCCACGACACCCAAACAGACAGATTTATCTGGCTGCTTGCGTACATGTACCCGACCATTCAACTTCGTCAAGTATCTACTGTACAGGTAATACGCGTGGGGCTGTGCAGGCCAAGGAGAGCTGGGCTGGGCTGGGGATGGTCGTGGTCAGTCATGGTGATGATGGTGATGATGGGGAGGACTACCAGTCTGGTACTGATGAGCTGTTCTATCCCTTGCTGGGCGCTGGTTCTCGGGAATGGGACGGTCTAACATACATGCTGACATGTGGCACGGTAGAATACCTGCTATCGAAGACAACTGCATTCTCTTCGCTGGTACCACATTGCTTTTTTTCCTGCTCCCCTCTCCCTGTCCCTGTCCCCTGTCAGCGACCTTCGATCGTCGCCCACTCGGGGAGTGGCGCCCAGCCACCTGCCAACGCTGCACATGCTCGACGTCTGGACCCTGAAACTTTCATGCACGTCCATGCAACCAACCCCTTCCGGCCCCATTCAGCCCTCCAGACCTCGCAGATTCGCGTGTTGGGTCCTCGTCATGCCATTAAACACGGTTGGAGCCGTCAAAAGCTTGTGGTATTCTCTAACGAGTCAAGCATGTTAGCACATGCTGCATTTACACGAGCTACGGTACTCACTCTATGACGATCTACTCCGTTTTCTACCTATGTAATCTGGTCTCTTCAGGTACAGCACGTCGACACCCGTCTCGCCGCCATCCTTACACATCGTCAACCAACACGACCTGTAGACACAGGTATACGGCTTGGCCGTCGCATAACTTTACATCCCATCACACCCATCAGATCACATCGCATGTCATGGAAGGTCATGGCACGGCCTGGCATCACACCACTGTGTGCAGCATGTCTCGTCCTCTGGGCACCTTTAAATAGAATAGAACAGACGCCCTCGTCTTGACTTTGACCGCACGGGCTCCCAAGGCCCTCGGCGCCTCGGCCCTCCAGCTTGGGGCCACGACCACCGGGCCGCAATGGTCGTCAGGCCGTCCAACAGGCCGAGTCCCTCCCGCCATCCAACTGCCGCAACCCCCATAAGCCAAGGGTTCGCCAGCCCGATTTAAACACTCTCATTTAAGCTTTTATCTCCTGATGTGACACTGCGCAGAGCCCTGGTCCCGGTCATATCTGCTCACTGCCCACAACAGCGCGCCTCACGCGTCTGCAGAAGCGCCAGCCTTTGACACTCAGCCGTCATGACCGGGTGCAAGAAGAGGTTTTTGACCCAAATACTTTGCCAGACTCTGGCGATATTGACGCCGTCCTTCTCACCGAATTGCAAGATTGTATCGTCGAGGCTTTCTACTGCTTTCCAAGTGAGTATCCCAGTCGAGGTCATTCTATACTGTGCTGCCAGACAATGCGCTTGTGTTGCTGGATAAACACTCACCCATCATGGCATCACCGACCAGCCATCTAAGAATGGCTCCACGGGCAATCCCGAGTCACTTACTCATTCACTACCTCGCCAGCAGCCTGCCACGTCTTGCGATGCCCTCCATTCGATACTCGCTCTCAAGATCGAATTTGACATACGCACCAGACGTGCATCGTGTATGTTTCTGTAAGTGCTGCCAATGGCTCTTGGTGCTTCCTGGTAGTAGATGTTAGCACACGTGTTCGGAGATTTAGCAGGCGTTCCATGGCTTGGATAAAACACCCCCGGGCTGCTGCTCCTACAAGGACTGAAGGGCCGGTGCAGCGCGCTCAACGATGAGCCACCAGCCAGTCTTCGGCAGCAACTGATTGACCAGCCGGAGATCCTGGTTTCCAAAATTCCAGGAAGGCCTCTCAATGGGCACGATTTGTCCGTTGAAATTAGAGAAGTCTGGCGGTTGGAAGCTGTCTCGAGCAAGTATGGTTTTCACTTCTTGCTACTGGAGGTAAATGCTCCAATGGATTCCGAGAAGCCTGTTGCTTTAGAAACTCTTTGCTCAAAATACGATGTATCGTCATTTTGAACTTTACGCTTGTGGGAGACTTCTGGTAGGGCTTAGTAGAGCCCTCTCACACTGGAAAAATGTGTGCGCCACCAAATCCCTCAAGGAATGGAATTGTTTTGATGGTATTTCGCGGTATCATAATTAAGTTCCCTGATTTCTCTTCCCGCTTTCCAGGCTAAATGCACCGACACTAAAGCTGGGGAAAGGCAAGGGAGACACTCTGCGTGCTCATTCAAGCACATGGGCGCAGCCCACAATTACAGTATCAATTACTGTCTTAGAAGGGTGATTAAGCACTGCAACGCCACTGAACTGAAACCAAGAGAATGCGCATAGCTTGATAAGACGGTATGATTCCGCCTGCATGTTGTGCCGTATTGTGGCGTGGAGCCATTAATTGCGATATAAAAACAAATATCCACCCCAACACAAATGTCGCGTCTTTTGCATGCCGGCGTTCAAGAAAGCAAACCGGTCGCGTTTGTTGGACTGCACTGAATTTTGGATTAAACGCATCTTTATTTCCCAAAGATCTACGGTGTTCCTCTCCAAGATGCCGCATCCTTTCTCGTTTTCTCTCCGAGCGGGGACAAAATATCACCATGTTGATTACCAGTCTTCTCCTCTTCTCATGCCTCGCCACTGCGTCGCGTCCTGGTGGTCGCCGACGAGGATGTGTTCAGTCGCCGCCAGCCTCGATCGCGCAGTCCACAACCTCTCTGATTACTGTTAACACATCGTCAGCCGCTCCAAGGTAGGTCGACATTGTTAATGCATTGCCCATGCCCGTATTTCATGTAACATTTCCTAACGAAACCATTCATCAGTACGGCCACAACCGTTCCAGAGCCCTTCTTGCTGCAAATCCAGGCTAGAGATCCCGGATCACCACCCCGGAACAGAAGACAAGAGTCGTCTGACCCCTATTTGGAAGACAATTCCTCTACTAGCCCGCGTTGTGAACAAGGCGCCCTATTTCAACTCCTTAGTGGCCGACTACTCAAAGAGGGAGTTGTGGTTACAGTTTCGGATCCACCGAGGCCTCAGCCTTTGCTTGGGGGTGGCGCGAGTAGGGACATCTCTATCACATTCTCCTTCACGGACGGTACACTTTCGTGGAGTAACCCACGGTTCCCAAAGCAGACAGCGTTTTTCTGCCTCCTGGTTGACACGGTGTATGTTTATTTCGATGACGCTCCTCAAGGTTGCGTCTACGTCACGCTCTCTTTCACATCATGTAGGTCTTGTCATGATTCTCTTTCCTCTTATTGACTGGTGTTGCGGGTCTAACATGTCATCCAGTGTCTGAATGCCCGGGACGGCAAGCGCTGCCGAGCATGGCGGCATCCTCCACTCTGTCTACCTCGGGCTCCCAGCTCTCCTCTGGCCCGAGTTCGTCTACCCGTGTGATGGGTAGCACAGGTGTCTTCTCAGGCAGCACTCCAGGCGACTCTGGAACTTCGAAGTTGCCTCCGACTGCGGCTGGAACCCCATCTGCAGGCTCTACTCGCAGCAGCAGCAGCAGCACAACAACCAGCGCTTCTCCCGTTGTCACAACCATAGCCAGCCGGACTACAATTGGCCCATCACTGCAATTGTCTTCTTCTCGAACAAGCTGGTCTAACAGCAGTGTTTCTGATTCGCCGTCGGAAGGCATTCCCAGCTTCAGCTCTACCGTGGCTGCCTCGTCATCGCACTTTTCAACCTCCTCGACCAGGCAGCTCACGCGAGAATCTCCCATCTCTAACTCAACCACGACTCGCTCGTCATCTCGATCGCTAATTTCTTCAGTTGCGCAGTCTACGCGAGAGTCTCCTAGTTTTGGAGGAGCAACTACCGGATCATCATCTCGTTCGTCAATCCCTCCAGTTGTCCAGTCGACACAAAGCTCTCTAAGCCCCAGCTCAGCCGAAGTTGCTTCATCGCCACGGTCATCCTTCATTCAGAATTCTCAGCCCACGAGTGCATCTCTGAGGCCTAGCTCAAGCACAGTCGACTCATCGGGGACCCAGTCTATAATATCGGAGCCAACCAGCACTCAGTCTGTTGTATCGTCGCAAGATGCATCCAGCTTCAGTTCGGCGTTGGCTAGCTCATCGCAGCCAGTTCTCTCTCCAACGCCATACTCTACTTCTCCAGGCACTGTCTCCTCCAGCTTGACGATTCCTTCGTCGACATCTGTGACAAGCTCTGAAGCTCCCGGAAGTACCACACAGTCCAGTTCCTCCTCGACTACCTCAGCTGGACGCCCGTCGAGCTCAACGGACCTTCCAAGTCTGATATCGACGCTTACCTCCAGCGCCCCTAGCACGAGCACCTTCAAAACTTCCGGCACGGATACCACAAATCGCTCATCTGGTAGCCTCCAAAGTGTGGAAAGTGTTACCAGTCCTAGTAGCCGCTTCTCGGAAACACATACCGCCTCAGCAGCAGCAAGCACCTCGGCGACAGGTATTTCAACGACGAGTCGGCCTGAAACTAGTACATCGAGTTCGACGAGCTTTAGTACATCGAGCTCAAGTACATCGAGCTCTAGTACATCAAGCTCGAGTACATCGAGGTTGTCGAGCTCAAGTACGACGAGTTCGTCAAGTTCGTCGAGCTCATCAAGCTCGAGTAAATCGAGTACATCGAGCTCGACAAGCTCGTCGAGTTCGTCAGGCACCCCGTCAGCCACACCCATTGCCCCTCTCTGTCCAGCTTCACCCGAGATCAGCATGAAATTCGGGTTCAAGACCGACGTGGTCGGATCTGTCGGATACTCGGGCCAGCCTGCAGGAGACTCCTTCGCATTCTACCCCACTGGCGGGATCGGCCAAGGTGGCTGTGGATACCTCGGATATCTCTACCACCAGCGGACTGGGCTCTGCGTGGCTGTGGCTTTCCCGACCTCGTTGTCGTCGCCCAGGTACACTAACGCCCCTGTTACGCTTCAGCGTTGTGGCTCGTTCAGCTCGGCCCCCCCGGAGACGCAATCTTTCTGCGGTCTAAAGTTCCTCATGCAAAACGGGGACTATTGGGTTGGTGTACTGTTCAAGGGCGATTATTCTAATACAGCCGGCCATTATGGATCCCGCCACTGGTGGCAGCGGCAGTAATACGTTAGTGGCACTTAGGGAGTCTAACAATGGTGTTGGTAGCTATTGGAATCACGTATGCCCGTAGGTGGTAGCTAATGTGGGATCTGGCACAGGGCAAACTGTCCTGTGCTGTGTGCGATATATCTTCCGCGGGTTAGTTGTGGTTCCTTGTTATCATTAGTTGGTGAATCAGAGCAAGTTCTTGCCGTGGAGTACCCTGCCGCTGCAAATTATGATAAACACAGTTCAAGACAACTTTTTGCGACACTCCATTGCCCACCGTCCCAGACGTATCCGTACGTTTCTGGTCGATAAAATGGAGCCAGACTTGCGCGCTCAGTTTGGCGAAGACCGGACTCGGTTGCGTTGATCGCTTCCGTATTCGCTGTGAGCAGCATGACACATCTCTGATCCCCAACGATCGCGAAGGTTGATCTGGACCGTCGGTCCCGAGGTCTTGGTAGTGTTGACGCCCAAGGCGCGTGCACGCCGTGCCATGCCTGCGTCTTCTCTCGATTCTCCAATATGCATAATGCGCAGGCAGCACTACATGTGGCCGAACTTTACCAACACGCGGAATCCAATCGCAGAGGTAAAGAGAAAATCGACAGAGAATACGTCTAAAAAGAACCATCCAGAATGAGTCTAACTCTCAATTCCGTCGGATTCATTCACTGGGCAGCAGAGAATTGGGGAGAAAGGCGCGCCCCAACTTGAAGTGTGTGGTGGACAACGCCGGAGATCTCGGATGTCGGTAGAACTTTGCTGATATTCCACCGAACTCAGTTACTGCACAATTTGTGCAGCAGCCGATACAGATTCACACAGACATTAGATGGAATTCACCGCAGCAGGGCTTTTTCTCGATACTGGCTTCCATGGCATAAAGTGAGATACATTGCACGGCGCGCCGCTCTTTTCCGTCCCCGAATTAGCAGTACGAATCCGAACGGATTGCATGGACCATCTTGTCCAAGACGTCGATGAGAAGTTTGTGTAGCCGTGCACTTCCTAGGATGACCTATACGATTGGATACTGTGCGGCATAGTCGGTGTATTTGGCCAAGCTGCGCGCTCTTGGTGTGCTGCTAAGCGGCATTATCGAGGGAGAACTTTGGGCAAATCTTCGCGCCCGATTCGGGGCCAGAGATATCGACGATCCCGCGGGGAGGACACATATAAATTGGCCATCATTCTCTCCTCTGAGTGAACAACAATAAGCATAACTTTACCTTCAACAATAGCCACATGATACTCTATTGTGCAAGTTTCTCAAGCTCTTGCTCTCATCAAACAATTCATATACCTGACACAACCACAAAATCACAAACTCACAACCATGCATTTCCTCTCCACCATCTCATTGGCCCTCGCCCTCATGTCAAGCACAGCACAGTCAGCTGCTGTTGAACCCTTTCGCGGTGTCATAGAATCACGTCAAGAATGGGGTCAGTGCAATGCCGACGGCGACTGCGGCAGCGGTTTCCAGTGCTGTACTACTCGATGCATCTTTGGTTCATGTCCAGGCTCTGGGGACGGGACGTGCGACCGAGACAGCGATTGTGCCAACGGTGGTGTCTGCCGCAACGGGGCTTGCATCGGCAGCGGAGGTGGTGGAAAGGGCGGCCCCGGCTGGTGCCCGGGTGACGATGACAATGATAAGTCTGACGACTAGGTTCATGTGGAGCACGGGAAGTGTTCGTTGGCTGCGAAGGATGGCCGCATTGAGAATGGTAGTAATGATGGAATACCTAGGTTTCAGGGTTGTGTTTGTGTTTTTTTTTTTTGAGTCACGAGTCTACTAAATATTCCATTGGGAATTGCAGATATAATTCAGCAACGCTTCCTCCTGTGAAAGACATGTCAAGAGATCGTTGGACAATAATCAAAGTAGTCGCCGATAGCTTTGGTGCAAGGACAAGGGAACAAGTATCGGGTATAATTTACACTTATGTAGCTTCATTGCATCGTCCTACCATTCTCTGCTGTGGGGGCGGAGGCGTCCGACTAATCACCTCAACACCTATCTGCCCGTTCAATTTTATGACTATGTACTGTTGCATATCCCGTCTCGACATGTCATGCTTTCGCGTCCCCTCTCGCAAGAAATCTCAGAGCGGCAGTCCTCCGAGGCCCTTGAGCTCCATTGACCAGCATTTGCTCATACAGAGCGATGACTCTCGGGTCTTGGTAACAGTCAGCCCCTTTAGCCATATCTACATACGACAGCAGCTCGGCCTTGGCCAGGAGGGTATCGATATATCGGTAGTCACGCGTGCCGAACATTTGTTCGTAGGCCGCCAATTGCTCGTCAATAATCATCTCTATGAGCTGAAAGAACCACATGCCGTCCATTTCGCCCTGGTCTCCGACGCGGAGCCAAGTCGCGAGTGACTTTGTGCCGACTGCTGAAAAGTAGTTGGAAAAGGCCATCTCGGCCCATGCTTGACACGTCACCTTCCACGCCCTGATCGCTACCTCGTTCAGGTCGCTGTGCGGGACAACTGCTAGGCTCTGCATGAGATGAGGTAGTGGGTGTGAGCTCGGCATGCCCAGAGCGCCGGAGAATCCTAGAGACGCGGCGTATTTGAGTAGCGCCTTGAGGAGGACCCTAAACTGTTCAGCATCGGCGCCGGTGGCTTCCGCATAGCGATTCAGCTGTACGATCAGCATGAATATGTTGCAGATTGTTGTGCTGGGCTGGGACTTGAACATGATGGCGATCTCATCAGGCGCCTTGCGCATCTGGACGAGAGCCTGGCTCACGTTGTTCTGTCTCATTGCCTCGTTGATCCCGCCCGTAAAATTAAACCACCGGGTAGTGCTCGGCCGGTCGAGCGAGATGATGCTGAGCGCTTCTGTCAGGTTGGCAATCTCCCTCTCATGCCGACCAAAGACGTATGTGCGCGTGTGGGCGAAGACCGCCTCAGAAACGTGATGGTTGTCTGGCGGCCGAACCACCGCGGTAAGCGGCACCTTTGTGACGACTCTCTTCCGCCGGAGGTGCTTCTGGAGGCGGGATGTGTCGACGACTTGTCCATTAGCCAGGCGGATCTGAGTGCCGGGCCTGACAGAGTCCTCGTAGGGAGTGTCTTGCACTACTTTAGGATCGAGGCCCGCTGTTAACTTGATGTTCTTCCGCCAGCCCCAGGCTATGAATCGTGTCTTGTACATCTTGGCTCTGGATTTCTGTATTAGTAAAGCTTGCCTGGGGCAACGTCTCCATTCGAGGATAGACCTACGAGGCGTCAAACTTGTACTGTGTCCTCATGAGATCCCTCACTTCAACAAGGGTCTTCTTCTCGTCCAAGTATAGCCTCCTCAATAGAGGCTTATACTTGTTCCATTCGTCGTTTTGGGGATATGCCCGGTCATGCCCGGCTGCGGGTCTCAAGCTGACTGGAGCATGGTGCGTCACGGGTATGCTCATGGGGCAAAAGGCTTGTTGCTGCCGCGGATCCTTCCGCGTGCATACTGGGCTCATTGTCTCGATGGACGTTTCGTCGTCCCCACTGGATGACGACATTGGGGGTCGTGATTTACAGTGATGGCACTGTCGTGGAGGTGAAGTCTTACTTCATGCGCACGTGTTTGACTTTCTGGGCATTGGAACCTGTGGGTTCGTGAATCCTTCAGGAGGGGTCTAATTATAGCCCAGCCCCGGAAGAAGCCTAACGGGTGTTATTTCCGCAAGAGGACTCGTCAATGTAAGCGGCTAGTATGCATAGATGATGCAAGTAAGAAGTATTATGCATTCTGCCAGTCTAGAACCATAGGACTGTGGAGAATCATGTCGCATTAAGCTCGAGGGTCGGTACCGCACATGAACAGCAATGCTGCTGTGTGCGACGCATTACCCTTCAGTATCTCAAACTGTGTCCCCAACGGTTGGCATCCCCCATCTCCACTTCTCTGTCCGCAAACCCCATGCCCACCAAGCTGCCAATCCTAAGTCTCAGGCAATGCCGCTATACACCTGATATATTGCCTACGTCCCTTTGTCATGTCTAGCATGGCGATCAGAGCCAAAGACAGCAACACCCAATATTTTAACGAATGGTTTAATTGGGGATAAGAACACGTTGGCAAAATCAAGGTGTGTCCGTTCAGCTGTACAGGGGGTCCATGCCGAGCAACCAGGAGTTGAGTCGCTGCGTGGGGAAGATGTGAGCGGTAATCGGAGGAGAAGTGGTTCAGTCCGTGCCTCAGAGAATGTCGCTCGTTTTGCCCGGGACGATTTCGGAAATCAGACCGAGCCGAGGATGGCTAACAAGGGTTATATCGCTTGATCTGAGTTGACAACTGAGGGCAGTGACTTTGATGGACGAAGTTCGAGGGTTTGAAAGACATTGCGTGAACTTGAATGGCGACGGTACTTGTAACTATGGGAAATCTAATTGCCCGCAATGATGCCTCCCAACTTCACCAGCTCCTCCCATCTTTCGTCTGAACGAATCTCGACCTTTCCCTCTGGAGTCATAACCTTGATTTGATCCATTGAAGTCGTGCCAAACTTGTACACTTTGTCATCATTCACAAAAGCTTTCAAGATCTGGATCCAACCCTCCATCAGCTGTCTCTCAGCGGCCGTTGGTCCGTGGCAAATCGCAAAGCTGTTTGGTGGGGCTAGAGTCAGTTCTTTTTTTCTTCTCAAGACTCGAATGTTTCTTCCTGTTGGCTTGTCCATCGCATGCGCGATGCTGAAAGAGGCCGGGGCCACCTCTGCATCGATGAAAGACAAACGATATGCAATGTGATATCTCCATACGTCTTGCAGGTCGAGGCCATTGTCAACCAATGCTTTAGCAAAAGCTCGAGACGGCGCGCGCACTTGGCCGTCGGACACAATGTTTCCCTAGGATCGTGAATATCAGCGATGGCTCTATAGACTGGCGTCAAGCTTACAACGTCTCACCGAATGTCCTTTGCCAATCGTCTAACTTGTCCGACGCCGGCAACTTGTATTGCTGGTGACTCGGTCGGTTACCTGAGGGGCATAGTAATTCGAAACTTGCAGTTTGAGTGCGTCTACGGTTGGTTCAGTGGGGGCATTGTATGACGAGTACAACGTTTCCTCGTTGTGCACTTCACCAATCAAAATCTTGTATCCTCTGATCTTGAACTCGTCGGCGAACTCTTTGCTTTGCAGATATTCAATCATTCCTGAATGCACAAAAATGTCGTCCGTAACGGGCCGGAAAGTGTGGTTCTTCAAATAAGGTTGTTTGCCATCGCATTTGATCTATTATGCACTTTAGCGCCTGGGATTATTTCTGAATGCTCATCTCTACGTCGCACCTTCTTTCGCCGGCACGCGAGGCAGGCTTGCCACACCCGACCGCCGGCCGGCTCGGCGGTGAGTGGGGCATTTGGATCTGCACCGTCTTCGGCGCCGGGAGCTGACATGGAGATGCTGAGCTTTGGAGATAAACTTTTGTGTATTTCGTCGCGTGGAATCTGTCGGTCTGACATGACATTGCCTTGAAAACGATGAGATGCGAATGCAGAGTCCTTGGCGGAAAAGCTGGAGAGGCCGGCGTTTGCCGAGATCTTTATCTCGGCATCACGCTGTCACTGAATCCCCAGCCGGTGCCACTCCTCTTATCAGTTTGTTGCTAGGATGACTTGATTCGAGGCTCCAAAAAGGAAAACGCGATCAGAATTGTACGCTTTCTTGGTGGTACATTTTGCTGAGAGAAGGACTCTGCTTACAATATTAAGAGTTGTGTGAGAGTTTTAGGTGCATTTCGTTTTAGCCATAATGCCATGTAATTAGAGCTTGCCTGAGGTAAGCTATGCTAGCGGCAGCTTAGGCTCTAGCTTGAGGTCGATCAGTGTCCTGTGTCCGATTGTCCGTTCCACTCGTTCGGGATCAGACCGGCCGCTTGTGGTTCCACGCATACTTCTCTACTATGCCGACAATCGCTTTAGTTGTGTTCCCTCAAAAGAACGGTGGACAAAGTGAAGAAGACTTTAGTGCCTATGACGGCTCTGTGATTCAGCGTCGTGTAAGGCACCATGGAAATGGCCACATCTTTGAGACGTGAATCGTGGAATTGTCCTAGTCATCAGCACTAACCCAAAATAAAAAAGACAGCGAACAAGAATGTGGCCCTTGCCAGCTCTCTGTTAGAATTCAGGGTGATGATCAACTGAGGTGATGTCAACCTCCATCCATGTGCTGCATGCCAAGGGTTTACCGATGCTGTACCACCACAGCGTTCCGGCGTGTCCGGTAAGTGAGATTAGCTCTGACTTAGAGGCGGGCGGGGTCAATTGGGTGAGCGATAGTGCTTGCCTCAGTTCTGCCTAGCTTCATTCTGACTGCTTGCTTACACGACGTCTTGCTCACTCGCTCATGGGTCCAGGATGTGGAATCACTTCACTTGCATCCGTCCTGCCACACAGGCATACCGCTGGATCTGCTTCTTCAAGGTCTTCCGCCTACACCACTATTGCAACAAGTAACAAGAAATCCTCATCCATCATACCAAGTTGACCATGTCAAGCGACGAGAACCATGCTAGCTGGTGTGATTATACAGTTGGACTACGCTCTTTCCGCATCTCGGCACACTTGACCCTTACCATCCTCGCTTTGTTGCTGCTCGGCTTTTCTGCTGGTAATGAAGAGATGCCGCCTCTCAGAATAGTGAGGGCTAGGCGAACTCCAAATGGCTTCAATGCACCACCTAGGGGATGGAACTCCTGGGGGCTTCAAGCAAACCCAAACATCAACCCATCTTTTAAATTCAACCAGGAGGGAGTCATCGAGCAAGCGAATGCCCTTTTGGACAAGATTCCCTTGGGTATTCTGACTTCCGGCGACTATTACATATCCCTTGACTCCGGCTGGAGCGTCGGCGACCACGGCGACAAGCACGGGCGCATTGTGTATGACACTGAGAAGTTCGACATTCCTGCCCTGGCTTCCTACCTGCACTCTAAAGGTCTGAAATTGGGCGTTTATATCCTGCCAGGAGCTTTCTGTAAGGACAGCGACAAGATCATTCTCGGCACTGATATTGCTATCAAGGCAACCTTGAGCGGAAACAACAACGGCTTTTCACGATGCGACTTTGATTTCTCGAAAGACGGAGTTCAGGAATGGCATGATTCTGTGGTCGCGTTATTTGCGTCTTGGTTCGCACCCACACACAGACCGTAGGGCGAAGACACCTGGTATTAACCGTTGATGATTGTTTAGGCATGTCGATTTTATAAAATTGGATTACGTCACCCCCGGGATCTCCTGCAAATGGTGGCAATTTGCCCCCGGACAATTCTGGAGAGGTGATCGCGTACCATAAAGCTATCACCGCATCAGGGCGCCCAATGAGGCTGGACATATCGTGGAAGCTCGAGCGCGACGAACCGTATCTAGGCGTCTGGTCTAGCAACGCAGACTCTATGAGGACCGATCAAGACATCAACAATGGAGATCAAACCGTATTCACGGACTGGGCTACAATCCAACGAGCCATTGAGAATTATAGAGACTTCATAAGCCGAATTGTCAATGCGAGTGAAGCGCCATTCACTACCATTTATCCAGACATGGACAACATGTTCATAGGCAATGAAGAGGCGGTCACAGGTGTGTCGGACATGATGCGAGAGACCATTGCAACACATTGGATCGGAGCTGCTGCAAATCTTATCACGGGATCAGACATGACGAAGATCGATCTATTGGGAACCCGCCTCCTCACTCAAAAAGACGCCTTGGACGCGGCTCGATTTTCAGCCCAGTTTCCCATGCAGCCCCGGAATCCGACGACAGGCCGGAACCTTTCGAAACAACTCCAAGCTTGGATTGCTGGCCCCGATGAATTAGGCAACAGTCTGGTGGTTCTCGCAAACTACGGGCCTGATCGGGGCCAGGGTGGATTCAACACAGCATTGGAAGGAAAACAACTCGTCCACGTGACGTGGTACGATCTTGGGATACAAGGCGCATTCAAGATCCGGAATGTATGGACTGGGCTCATTTTCGGGGTCTCTGACAGCGAAGTTGGCGCCACACTAGACGCCGGGGAAAGCCTCCTACTGAGGCTGGAACCGATGCATACCTGAGCTGCTGGCGATACCTACCAGGGGGAGGGGGGGTCTTTGTATGGGTCATGCAATGCAATCATGTTTTGACATTTAATCAAAATTATGTAATTTTAGCAAAATGCTAATAAATGGCTATTAAAATACTATTAAAAGTAAATTATATTAAGGCTTTAAATTATATTAATATTAATTTAATATTATTATAATTTTATATTAAAAGCTTTGGTTTAAATCCTATTAACTTTAAATTTATTTTTATTTTTAAATATTTCCGTAATTTTATAAATACTCCCATAATAAATAGTTAAGCTAATAAGAATTAAATAAGTAGTTAGGTTGGGGATAAGGAAAAAAAAGAAGTTTTTTTTTACCCTTATATTAAGGGTTAATATTATATTATAACATATTAAGAATAATTATATATTAATAACGTATAAATAATGCAATGTATATATAAAAAAAGCATATCAGAACCTTAATTGCATATCACTATTATATCGCTATTCCATTAACATAGTGGTGCTATGTTGACGGAAACCCCCCCTCCCCCTGGTAGGTACTAGATTCGACGTCTCCGTCCGCTCAAGGTGGAGATTATTCCGTCCCTGTCCCCGTTACGCATCATGTTCTCGGCTTCTTCAGTCGTCCTGCCATAGTCTTGCAACAAAACGCGGAGCTTCGTTGTGTCTCCTTTCAATATATCCGCTCCCTTCCGGATCAACTTTCTTGTACACGCGCCATCATTGTGTGCTGCCCAGTAAAGTGCCGTCCGGCCTCCGTGGTCCAGACAGTTCATGTCGCAATTGGCGTCAAGCAAGTAGTCGACCAATTTCTCTGAACTGTAGTTTGCCGCAATGTGTAGGGCTGTCTGTCCCTCCTCTTTGTCGGCCAAATCAGTGTTGCAAGGGCTCATGAGTAAGAGTTTGGCGACCTCATTGCGGCTGTATCTTGCGCACAGATGCAAGGGTGTCCAACCGTGACCCGAGTCTGGGATGTCTCTGTCTGCGCCGTTATCGAGAAGTACCTTCGCACCGTCGTCTCGCCCGTAGCGCGCGGCAATGTAAAGAGCGGTTTTGCCCTTTTTATCTTTGCTGTCCACGTCGGAATTGGGCGCAAGAGTGCGGACCATACGACCGTTCCCCACCCTGATCGCAATATGTAGGGGTGTTCTCTGCTTCTTGTCTCGCGCATTGATGTCAGAGCGGTTCCGGAGCAACCGGACTGCTATATCACCGTACCCGAAGTTGACGGCAGCATGTAAAGGTGTCCACAAGTTCTGAGTGTCCGTCATGTTGACATGTGCGCCAGCTCGTAACAGCATATCTGCAACCGTTTCCTTGCCCAGCTCTGAACAAACATGTAATGGAGCCTGACCATTTGCGTCCGGAATATTGCAGTTCGCACCTTTAGCCAGTAACAATGACACGATGGTGTCATGGTCATGATCAATAGCGACGCGTAGCGCAGTCTTCCCGTCCGCGTCGCACTGGTCCACCGGAGCGGCCTCTTCAAGCAAATTCGATACCAAAACTTGATCGCCTTGCTGAGATCCTTGAAGCAGTAGTTCACCCTTCTCATCGTCGGTAGCATCAGGCCATTGCCTAAAGTCAAGGAGGATCTCTGTCCACCCTGCACCTGAAGAACGAAATCGGGCGTGGTCAGATGACCGGCGTGGTGGCATGCGGCCAAAGGGATGGTTTTTGAAGAACCGACGGACGTTGAATAGCAGCCAAGGAAGCCCTTCTGCTCCAGACTCATCGACACATCCGATTGTTGGAACAAGTGTGCCATTTGCGCAACGTTTCAAGATTGCACGCCTCCTTTGCACGCTGTCCACGCTAAACATTCGTTCCATCTCTTTGACCCATCGATACGCCGTCCAAGCGGTTGCAATTATTTGTGTACTCTGGCCCCATGTCCGCCACATTTCTGTGTCTTGGTGCCCAATTTCCTGAAGAAACGTCTCGAGAGTGATGCAAGTTGATAGTAGTCTGATCATTGGCGCACAGTAAGAACTGGAGGCTGTTGCCGGGATAGAGTCGTAAACCGATTTCGCCATCGATCGGCGATTTGCTCCTTTAGGCGTTATTACACCCTCACTTGCTCCTCGCGCGTGCTTATAATCAAAAGAGTGTCGCAGGGAAGACCACGCGAGATGGATCCAGTCCAACAGCTGGAGAGTGATATAGAGCCAAAGCGTTCTGGATACTTGTCCACAGGTGTTTGAGGATCCCCACCAGCGAAAATCAAGACATTTACATATCGCGCCCTCTCCACTTTCTTCTCGAGCCCTACTCAAACGGGCCAGAGCAGCAACGACGCCTGCTATACCAATCAGCTGCAGGAACAGTGTGCATATTGTTCTCCGCGGGTATGCCAGTAGCTGTTTCATTGACAAAAGAACTGAGAGACAGTTGATGTACCCTTCCGCAATTATTGCTGCCAATAATTCCTGAGAGGGACTCATTCCATGGACAAAACCCTTGGCAATGTTAAAAATCACCGCCGACAGCAGCGCCCAGAGAAGGAGACTCAATTCGGCAACAGGCGAAGGTTCGGCATGGAATTGGCCAAGAATTGCCATCGTGGAGACGATTCCACCAGTCACGTATAAACTGATTCGCACTCCTACACCAGCAATGTCGGGGTCGATCATAACGCCTTCGCAATCTTGTTGACGACGGTCGTGTCTTGTCAGATCGATGAGGTACAGTGTGCACATCGATCCATATCAGTGGAGGGACCGCGATTGCAACGCGCCGAGTGTGTGCTGATTTTGAGAGCTTTTCGATAACGGCGAGGCTAGCAGGCCATGCTGATTTTGAGCACAAGACATCGAATGCAAATGCGATGACTTCAATGATCAAGACAAAACACTGAACTACCAAAAGGGAAGTCCGGCTTGTTGTCGGAGACTGTGAGCTGTCTTGATCCACAGGATGGGCGCTTGCCAAAGACTGGCACGAGGACAAAAGTATCCAGAACGGACTTCCAGAGGGGCGAATCATATCTGAGGAGCTGTATCCAGGCGAGGGCATTCGACTTTTAGAACATGAAGTTTTACGATCACAAGGAAACGGCAAAGCCTGAAAGGGGAGATGTCTTAGAAAAACCCGCGTATTTGTATCCTTTGTGAGCTTGTACTGTGATTCTTGAGCCGTGCCTAGCCCTGCGGTAGATGGAGAAGCAATAGATCCCTAGGTAGTCGGCCACGTGTTCCATTTCGTGTAACAGCATACTAGATGGTGTGAAGGACCAAGAAGGCACATTGACTGCTAGAAGAAGAAGTTGCATTTGCTTGCTTTTGTTGAACGGCGTGGGAAATATGTGACCACGAGTGGCTTTTCTTGGTCCACTCTCACAGGCTTTTCATAGAATGTCATCAGAGGGTGGGGGAAATCAATCGATAGTCTAATTATTCTGGCTAAAATCTGTGGTTATCAATACAACAGCCTCATTTCCCGTAAGCCTTACCAAATAAGATAAGAATAACCAGCCTTTGTATTCCCCCTCCCCCCCTCCCTCCCCCCAAAAAAACCTTTCTACATGAACCTCTTACCGAGCTGTCATGCCAACAGAGCAGTTCAGATCGAGATCGAGTCTACCTGCTGCCTTTGGGCTGTTTTACTTACCCCAAAGCAAGTGGCGAGAGATGACATGTAAGCCTCCCAGAAGGTATACAATTGAGCAAGCTAGTAAGATCTTGCATATGTGGCCAGGGCCTCTAGTGCCTCTCATTGGTTCCACAGCATATCTCGGTGTAAACTTTAGAATAAGATGATAGTCACTTGTTCGAGTGCCCAAGCCCAGCCGACTTCCGTGCCCGACCGGTCGGTTGAGCCCCCAACCCGAGTTATCACCCTCGTACGAACAGAGCCAAGAGTCCTTAGGTCCCATGCGAGTCTAGAAAGACCCATCACGCCCCTCATCTTTGGGTCGGACAGAAAACAGCCCAATTAGCGAGGGGCGAGGATCTTTTCAGAACGGCTGGGGCGATGGGGTTGGGGACTTCAGGAGTACTGCTTCCTTACGACTGCCGTGTTTAACGCTAAGGGGAGACTCCTGGGTGGTCGGGAGGCTGACGATGTTATTACTCCTTGAGGCTCAACAAACATGGTTTGGATTATCGCACATTCAATATGTCTACGAGTTGCTCGGAGGAAATAAGTTATATTTTGAATTTAGGATATTTATAGGTTAAAAAACGGATAATACAAGATTAGTTAATATAGTGAAAATTCGCTACTTATTAATACTTACTGCTTATTAACATCTATTATTTATTAAGAAATTATGTTAAAAGATGATAAAAATAAATTTTATTATTTTTCTATTTTTATTCAAGTTTAGACTAAAAGGTTAAAGGGCTTTAAATTTTTTAGAAGTACCCTGAGGATGTCTATACATGGTTCCTTCCTAATAGTACCAGTTGAATCCCAGTGCGCCATGACCAGTCGCAAGGCAACGCTAAATCCTCAACAGACCAGTTACACGGCCGCGGCTTCGAGACCACCTGCCTCACGCGCGACCAGTCATCGCACAGCCCGCTGATACTAGTCACGCCTCCTCTGCTTCGGCTATAGATACTGGTCACCGCCCTAGCAGAGGCACATTATTGACCAGTCTCGGATTTGTGACTGGTCTCAACGACTTCTTTGCAGCCAGGGTAACCGGTCACTCACACCCCACCCAATCCCAGTCACCGCACCGCGCGACAGCCACCCCTGCGAACGCCGTATACCAGTATCGTGGCTACACGCATTGTTATCCTTCCCAACCTGTAGACTGGGAACTCACGCCAGCCTTAAGTGCAATCCTGGTGTAGCAGTGTGAACTACATTAGCCACAGGAGATTCAGGTAGCTGGTAACTGCCAGCTGTAGTTGGCCAGGTGGACGCTGTCCCAACAAGGCGCCCAGCTCGCCACTACGGCGCTGCCCTTTCAGCTAAGGGCTATAATACGCATGACTTGCTTGATTGCTGTCTGGCAATTGGGAAAGGTACTAATCGGCTTCACGACCAGGTACTCTGCCCAGGACCTAGGAGGCTGCCGATGCAGCGCGGCTGATATAGCCAATCACGAAAAACGGTAGCGCAGACCGCGTCACGGGCACTGCATGCAAAACCAGGTGGAAAGCCCCTATCAGGGCCCTGGGAGCTATTCATCTGGGCAGGCTGCGAAGGGGAGGTTACGTAATGTTGCTTAATAATAGCGCCTTTTTATATTTAAAAAAGAATATAAGTATATTATATAGTTTAGCTAATAGTTTTAATAATTAAAATATATTATATAGGTATGAAAAGCCCTTTTATTAAAATATTAATTCTTTTTATGCTTAAAATAATATATCTTAAGGTATTTTAAAATTTTTTAAAGGTAAACTTACTTTTTTTAAGTATTAATATCCTTAAAGGAAGTTTAGAATTATTTTTCTTAGCATAGGGCACTTTTTTTTATAATGGAAGGCCTTAATCTTTAAACTTTATATTATAAAGGCTATGGGTATATCTTTTGCTTAAGTTAAATTTTTAAGCTTTTTTTTAAGTTTTTCTTTAGCTTAAAATGCCTTTAAGAGATGATGAAATAAGCCTAGCAATCTTTATAAAGAGGGCTTTTTTATAATAAAGCTTAAATTAAGTATAAGGAGGGGCCTAGTAGTTCTTAAGAGGAGGGCTTTTTAGTAATAAAGTTAAAATTAAGCATAGGGATAAGTATAGCAATCTTTTTAAGCAGGGTTTTTTTATAATAAAGTTTAATTTAAGTATAAGGATAAGTATAATAATTTTTATAAAAAGGGCTTTTTTATAATAAATTTTAAATTAAGCATAAGGATAAGCTTAATAATCCTTATAAAAAGGGCTTCTTTATAATAAACTTTATAATAAACCTTAAATTAAGTATAAAAATAAGCTTAATAATCTTTATAAGTAATACTTTTTATTAATATAATTAAAAATAAGCATAAAAATATTTATAATAATATTATTAAGTAAGATTTTTTTATAAAGAAGCTAAATATAAGGCTTTTAAATATAATAAGTTAAATATTTATTTAATAAATAAACTTTAAAATATATAATATATATTAATTAATATTTATAGCTAAAAACTTAAGGGCTTTATTTAATATATGCATTAATACTTATTAAGCTGGTTAAATTCTATATAAATAAAAGTATTAAAGGTATAAATATGGTTTTAAGATATATAATAAGCTTTGCTATTTTTTTTCCTTAAGAGCTTAATATCTTTATAATTTATTAAAATTATTCTTAAAATAAGTTAATATTATAATTATTTTAATTATAATTAAAGTTAATAAATAAATTTTATAATTATTATAATAATAATAAATATAATTAATAAATTTAATAAAAAGATAGCTAAGTTTTAAAAGCCTTTATGCCTTATAAGGCATATACTTAAATATATAATATATCTTATAAAATATAAAGATTTTTAAAAATTAATTACTCTTAATAATTATATTAATTTTAAAAATAGTAATATAGCTTTAATTAAAATTACCTTAAATTTTTTATTATTTTAATTTAAATTAAATTAATTAACTATATATTATACTTTAAATTATATAATATATATAATATATATTATAATTAAACTTATTTTAAAGATTTTATTATTTTAATTAAAATTAAATTAATTAATTATACTTTAAGCTATATTAATTAATTATTATATTAAATTAGCCTTTTTTTATATAGTTATCTTTAATATTGCTATTAATTAATACCTTAAATATACTTTTTATATAATTTATGCTAATTTTA